TATTCTTGTAAATCTGAAATGTTGATAAATAGAATTTCCCTTTATAATATACATGTATACAAGTACAGTAAGCCTTTTCTACCTTTCAATACTGTCAATTATATTTACAAGAACCCTGGTGGGCAATAGGACACATGCAACATGTGAAACAATTTGACGTAGCCTTACAAAAATATCCAGTAAAAATCCAAGCAAAAAACAGATGCTCAGTTCCTTTTTATGCTAAAGTATTAGTGGATGCAGTGTCAATAATAAAGGGTTTCTACATAATATAACATAATCAAACGAATATGCAATATGTACAAATTCAATACCATATTATTAACCAAATTTACGACAAATGATTATACAATTATTCAAATCATTTGAGATTGGCACAGTGGTAAAACATAGTGGAGGAGTTTATTTAAAAAGCATGGCTTGTATTTTATAGACCCCTTGAGTATAAAAAAAAAGTTACAAGATCTCTGTAACATAATAAGAAAAAAGTAATCCCTCTCCTACGCTACAAAATTAAAAGGTTGTCTCTAGCATTGTGTATATTCAGAATTTTTACAGATAATGGAAATAATAACAAATGATAACTTTTCTAGCAGAGATGAGAGAGAGAGAGTAAGAAACGTTAAAAGGTTCATATCAATTTAGCCCCTAAAACAGCATTTCTGCCAACATATGTTTACTTAGACTATAACGATGTCTCAAGTTTAGCTTTGGGGCTGTGTTTAAAAATTTAAAAAATCATAAAACTCTGTATCTCTGAAACACCAATCAATCTGAAAAAGTACACAAAGCAAATCACAGTTTTTTACACTGTGAATTGCAATTTGGTTTACACCCAACCTGTTCATTCAATGCAATTATTTTTCTAAGAATATATTTTCTCTAAGTTCAACAACAAAGGATTCAATATTTTAATTTTTTTTTAAATTAGCATACTTGTCCAAAGTGTCCAAATCAAACAAGTAAAAACACCCAGATCCCAGGCATATCTCTCTTAAGAATAATGTCCTTTTGCTACTTTCAAAACTACATAAAGTAATCTGGTTATTGCTTTGGTCTCGCAAACCAACTAGATGCAAAAAGAAATCAGGGAAAAAATTAATATTTATTTTTCGGGGGCTACTTTTCAACCTTGCCTGCATGAAAATAACATTCTAAAATTTGTTTTGCATTGAACTCTATGCAAATTTACTGGGGCTCTTTTCTGATTTTGGGGGGCTCTTTTAGGCATTTCGGGGGCTAATTCGCCCCGAGCCCCCGTGTATTTTTTTCACTGCAAGAAATACACATTTCCAGCTACGTATGCACATTAATGCATGCACAAAGACTGTTTTGGGGTCCAATTTTGTCTATCACAAAGAAATAGCATTAAATGTCCAGTATTCCAGTAATAGGTTAACGTATTACTATATATGTAAATATAAATGGAGAAAGGAGTTATTTATTGCATTGATTACCCCTCCCCTTTCTACATAACTCTGTAAGTTGGGGCTTTGATCGAAGCGACACCCTCGCATCTGTGATTGGTATCGGCAAAAATAATTTTTTTTTTTTTTTTTTTAAATGACGAAAAATTGTCAAGGTTTTGGCTATCAAATGCTCAAAAGAATTTCATGGCTGGGATTATTTTGTCATTTGGAGTTGTTGTAGACCATGTTTGTTGATATTTAGTGCCTTTTCATGACTTTGAAATTAATAATATTGGTCTAAGAGAAGAGGCCGCCATCTTGGAATATAATGTAGGCATGCATTATAATCCAAGATGGCGGCCCGCATGTTTTGCCTCTTCTCTTAGACCAATATTATTAATTTCAAAGTCATGAAAAGGCACTAAATATCAACAAACATGGTCTACAACTACTCAAAATGACAAAATAATCCCAGCCATGAAATTCTTTTGAGCATTTGATAGCCAAAAACTTGAACATTTTCGTCATTAAAAAAAAATGATCAGCGATCGGAAATTATTATCTGATCACCCCTGAATGCTCAAGATCGGCCCCCGATCCGATGATCGGTTACAGGCCTATTTCTACACCACAAACACACTCAACCACACATCCTCGAACTACCACACCCACGCAAATGCAAAACGCAAATATCTGTTATACATACGAGGTGGATTTAAAAAAAAAAAAGAATAGAAAACTACCAAAGTTAGGCACATTCATGGGGCACTAGAGGGCGCTTCGCGAGCGTACAAAAATCTGAATGGCCTTGCTGCGGTGGGTCGGCAATAATCAGCCCCAAACTTGGATATGGGAGGGTGGAAGGATATATCTTTTTTATAATGTTATCTGGTCTTACCCCTAACCATCCTATTTTTAATCTATGTAGAAATAACATGCGAGTACGATAAGAGAAACATCGGGCCCATTACTGATGCAACTTTTTAAATATTAGCCTAGAAATGACCACCAAACGGAAAAAAATGACATTTTTTTCCGACAAATCTTCATAAAATCTGAGTTATAAACAACTCACAACTAGGCTCGGTAATGCAAATACGATTTTCTGAAAATTCAGGTGTGATTTTTTAAGTTTCTTTCAAGTATATTTCTGCGCATCGCAGCGCAAATTTTCTTCACTGCTTCAAAATCACCCTTGAAAATTTTTTTTGCAACAAATTTGATACGGGGTCCGCGAGTGTTCCCCGTTCCTTGCGTGTTGAAAGTTTGGAAATACAAAGTTTGCATTGACTCGCGCACGAAAAAATGGCTCGAAAACAAATGTCAAAACGAGAAATAAACAAGCTTTTGTATAGTTATAAGAGATCTACCGAGGTTTCTTTGTCGATATAATTTATTATATAGTCTCAATTAGAATTCAGAATTATCTCACTGAAACCGACGATGTTCTCGATCGTAGTTATTTTCACTTTGCCAGCAGACGTTCTAGCGTGGTTTTGGCAAAAAGCTAGCCCGCCACCTTCCCACCTCGAACCTTTCGAGTTCCGCTAAAATTGTGCGCTGCGGAGCTCCGAGGGTGCGTTGGTATTGCTGGCAAACTCTCGGGCGGCTAGCTCCCCACGACGGACCATTCGCGGTATGGCGAGAGTGTGTGTGTGAGATACGATTTTGGATTCGAGAACGCACGTACCACAAACGTGCGCGTCATTTTCAGCTGTCGAATGTCTACGACCAATTTTACATGTACGATTTTTAGTACAGATACTTGGTCAGTTTTCTTCTTATATCTTTGGTTTTACAACATTTAAAAATATAATTTCTTCAAATTTGCTCCTGACTTGGTTCAGACTAATTGTCTGATGTGTTTTCAAGTCAATTTCTTGAATATATTTTTTTGCATGAATTTGCCTACCAAAGTATATTTATAGGTGCTAGGAGGAGAACGATGGAGAAATCATGAATTTAGAAATTCAGAGAAAATATGTATTGGGTGTAGTAGAGAAAGAGATGCCATAAAATAATAATAATAATAATATTCCACTTTTATATAGCGCCCAATACATCAATACAACGATGTGCCTAGGCGCTTTACAGAAAAATTATTACCTTGGTCATCGGATTCAGGCTTACCCACACACAATGTATGCACATTTTCCACTCCCTGGGGAGCATTCCAGCCAGTCGCCATTTTACAAGCACACTCTTGCTCCTCCAACCACATGAACTTTCGCATCCTACCGGCATTTACTTGGTATTTGATTTAACAGAATCACATTTTACATGTAGAGTAAAGTACCCGGTTTTCGGCCACTTAAGACAAAATCCTATTTATTGGACTCTTTACTTCCTATTTATTATCATTTCTTGTTCAAATCATGAAGCTAATATTATTATTATTTAAACAAAAAAAGAATCCCAAAAAAAAATCACGAATTGCCATGACAATATTCATTTCAATTTTCACTGTTTTGGAGCCGGTTATCGGCCGAGCGTTTCAGTTTACGGCCGCATGTACAAAGTCAATAGGAAGCGCTCGCGCGCGCCGTGCGTTTCTGCGCTGATGTATAGCACAAGCGGGCGGAGCAGGTATCCCACGCCGGAGCTCGCGGGTGCTCGCCTGGCCGAATACAGGCACAGCGGTGATCGGAAGTTGGAATCTGAATTAGACAGACATATCGTGTGTGCGTCGCGGTGTGCGGCTGCATTGATTTAATACATGCGATGAGATACTTTTGAGCTTGCGACCAGCACAAAATCGGGCTCTATATCTGAAAAATACTTGAAATAAAGCTCATTTTATGGTACCCATATTTCTTACATACACGCGTAAGAAACTCGATTTTTCAGATTCGGGTAGCGGGACCGCCGATTACATCGCTAAAATGTGATATTTTAGGATATATTTTTCATTGCAAATGTGGTTCTTCAGTGACACTGGCATGGTATGGTATGTGTGGGATATGTGTTATGCTATTATGCGATGTATTTTAAAGTGATTTTACCATGTATCCAACCAATTGGCCGAAAACCGGAGCTGACCGATTACCGGGTACTTTACTCTAAGTGCCAATTGCAAAAGAACATTAGCACCTAAAATCATTCTTGTTCATCATTGTGGTATGAGTTCACCTGTATTCATCTGTTGGCAGGGAAAGAGAACAAGCGACAAATCTTTTCTTTCTTTCCCCCCCCCCCCTTCTTGAGTTCTTCTTCTTCTTTAATTTTTTTCTTTTCTGTTTTTCTTTTTTAAACTCATCATCTAGATCTAGACGAGATCTGTTATTGTTACTTTTTCCTCTTGAGCCTTTCATGGTCTTTGCTCTAAATTTAGCACAATATTAATGGAGGATAAGTTAGAGTGTTCAATGCATCAGTACGTTGCTCGTTAGATTTCTCAATTATGCTGTACACTCTACTGCCATAGCACAGCTCAGTCCACCACGTCCACACGAAAACAAATGAGAAATGAATGTGGATGTATGTACACCACTCAACTTAGATCTACACCCAACCATTTACAATGCGTGGGACTGAAATTAATCACCTTTTAAAACACATTTGCGGTCATAAAATACAAAATACATTACTTACGTTTACAGTAGATTCAAGATAAACTTTATGATTCCAAAAATGATATATACTGACACAGTCAATGAAAAGAAGAACGCAATCGCAGTTGATATCTTGTAGCAATCCATCAGCATAAATTATTTATAAGGAGGAAAATTCGGTATGTTGTTCTTGACAGTGTTTACCTCTGACCTATGGGTTCGTCTACACTTCACGAAGGGTTAAAAATATGTACATAATTGAGATTTTGATAGTTAAAAAATCAATTAATCCCTCAAAACTTCAGAAAAACTACTAAAATAGTTTTATTCTAAAATAAAAAGAAGAAAAATATGCAATCTTACAACAATACTGTGAAATAGTTTGCAACGGTATTATTTAATTTACCCAATTTGTGTAATGGTATAATCCTATCTTAAAGTATTCACACGTGTGTACCGTGTATGCTAGCTAGACCTAGTGCTACCACCATGTACCAGTGCTTGTCGCGCCGCCGGTAACCCGGTACAGTGTTGTTACATGTAGACTACGTTATTCGTTAATGTCATGTCAACAGCTACAAGTACAGCATGTTTATGTTTTTGTTTATTAACCACTTCCAGTTAATACCAGGTCAACGGGTCAAATGATGACAATCAGCAACTCTTACCGCAAGTGACCATCATCTAGAAGCGCATTCTGTTTCTATCAAACTCAGTCGAAATGGGTTTGAGAGTTATTACAACTGACTTTGCATTTGGCAGACATGGTAGAATGTCTAATTTATATAAACAATGTAGGACTCTGTTTTGGAGAAGAGATGTGTGTACATCATCATCATCTATGAGTGCCCCAGTGAGGTATCCAGTGCAGAAGGATGGAAGGACTACTGTTCATGTCTTGAATTCATTAACAGCAGCACATGATAGAAAAAGTGCAAAGAAGGAGCCTCTCTTATTGATGAACAAAAATGTGGCAACATGGTAATGATCACTACTTTGAATCTCATTTTCAATTGTTAATTACTGTTTCGCTGAGCGAAAATTTTTTTTTTTTAAAGCAAGTTGAAAATCTTAGAGAAGATTTTTAGAGTTCAGATTGTTTGTTTTATAAGATGAGAAAAAAAGGTTCATTTTGTTAATTATATTATCAGGAAAGCTAGATATTCATTCTCTTTAGTTTCAGCCTCAATGAAGCATTTAGGTATTTTATAGAAGGTGAATTGGCAATTTAAATGTATACAATGTCTGTTGTATTTATGATCGATGTTTTTTATAGTAGGATCTGAATTGGCCTTTTCTTTGATTATTTGTTTTTGAAGGACACCTTACTTTCGGCTTCAATAACGAGCGAAGCCATTTTAGACACTTGTTCGTGTAATCTGTCGAGCGTCAAGTCACTGGAGATGAGCTCTCCAATTTTCCCAGTTTTCCTCGTTTTGTCCTGTTTTACAGTGACACCAGTGAGCCCAGTGTTTCGGCAGTAAATTGCTAAGTTCCGGCCAAAGAAATTGAATTTTGTGTCTGTGTTGTCTTCGACTCTTCATACTACTCTTCGTTTGAGGAAGCTAATAAAGACTTCATAATCCCATTTCGAGTTTGGAACTTTTGCAATTTGTTTCATGGTCAGCGAGCCAATTACCAACTGTTTATTTAATTAGCTACCAGTATGCCTGATGGCATCTTACATGTTGTTTCTTATTTTATCATAGAGTACATGTATGTACAGTTTAATGAGGCAGTGTATTTAACATTTTTTGTAATGACGTTTGACTTTAAGTTTTGTGATGATCGTTGATGACACTGACTAAATTGTTTGATTTCATTGTTTTCAGGTTTGCCTGTGGTCCTACAGTTTATGATTCTGCCCATATTGGGCATGCAAGGTAATTATATTTGTATTATTCCTTCCTAAAATCCACCGTATTTTCTGTTCCTCCCAGTTTGTAAGTTGCTTTTATAGCGGTTTCCACTAGTTTCTACCCTTTAACCTAGCTAGACTATTTGTTACATTTTTCTCCTGTTTTATGATATATTTTTTTTCTTATCTTTTTTGGGGGGGAAGACACTTCTTTAATCTGTGAACTATAACAACTGTAATTATATCAATTTATATCAATAATCCGTCCACAATATGAGAAACCATTTTTCTGTACTTTTGACTAATTGATGATAATGGTTGTGATTTATAATCTTATTTCCAGATTCTATCTTCCAAAACAAATTACAACTCCTGAATATTTGTTTGCCATCTCAATAGTAATATACAGCCTACAGGTAGACTCCTACATTATCTTGTATCATTTTTCCCCCATTTTTTGTTAATTGTAATGGCCAATATTGTTAGATAGGCAGATTGCAAAATTAGGGCTAAATTGAAATTATGATTTCTTGAAAGAGTTCTTGCAGTCTTGCAGAAGTCTGTTTTTAGTGTAAATTGCTTACAATTTCTTTCAAGACAATTGAAACTATATTGAATAATATTGAGAAAAAATATATATGCGGTGCTCATTGTAAATTACTCTGAAAAAGCCAGTTTGCATACACCAGTTCTAGTCATTTAAAGAAATTGGAAATGTGTCTTTGTACAGTACAGTATTTACGGTAGCCTATTTCTTGACAAAACAGGATATTTTACTCACTTTGCAGTTCCTACGTGAGATTTGATATCATCCGCCGTATCTTGGCAGAGTTCTTCCAGACGAGCGTTGTCATGGTGATGGGTATTACTGACATCGATGATAAGATCATAAGACGATCTCATGAACAGAATTTAAAGGACTTCAGAGAATTAGCCGGATTCTACGAAAGAGAATTTTATCAAGATATGCAACACCTCAATGCAAGTATTTTATGTTTTTCAAATGCATTTGTATAGTCTACATTGTATTTTGATGATTAGTTGGTTGAAAATAATATCTTTCCAACTGAGTATGATATGATAGTGAAGGGATGATAAGGCATACAGAACACTGGGTCACCTTTTGTAACCTTGGTTGTGGCGATGCCTTGTGTCTTCCATGCTTTCAAATGGAATATCATCACAATCCATACCATATTTGAGTTTGAAACACATGATATTTCAGGAAACTTTCATTTGCATACCGGTAATACTAGTACAGAAAATTATGGCTAGGCATAATTCCATCACTTTTTCCATTACGATATCTGTGACACATTTATAGACTTAGGAGCAAACTTTAACATATTAACTTTAAATAAATCTACTACTAGACTCTAATCAAAGTTTACTGATCTATTTGTATTGTTGTTTTTTGTTTTTTAATTCACCAATAATATTAATATTTCTTACAGGTCTTACCAGCTACTGTGTATACCCGGGTATCTGATCATATACCAGAGATTCTTACTTTCATTGATAGTATCATCAAAAATGGCTATGGATATTCTACAAGCAGTGGTATGGACTTCAACACTTTTTATCTTATTTTATTTTATCTTCAGATACACTGTAGATTCTTATATTCTACTAAAAACACGATTATAATATGAGGAAGATGCAAAAAGCTACTAAAATAATCATCTATTATATAAAAGGGAAGTATGTTAATCAACTTCAGTTCTTGAAATCATATTGTATATATATATAGTTTAATTCTGTTAAAACATATAAAGATTCAAATTGTATTTCCATTTCTTGTTGGTATTTTGTGTTGCAACATATGTATCATAAAATTATTCTCAGGTTCATTTTCTTAATGTTGCCATCAAGTCCTTTGAACCCAATATCAAATGTGTGACATGTAATTAGCCATACAGATTTCCTCACCTAGGTTTAGGGACATATCCTTCAAAGATTCTGAGGGTTGTTTGAAATTGACTGAGAGGTAATTGTAATAATGAAATGAAATGTTTTGATTCTGCAGGTAGTGTGTATTTCAATGTGGATGCGTTCACCCTAGAGAGATATGACAAACTAGCCAGTCAAGACTTAGACGTCCAGCATGATGAAGGCAAAGAGTTCATTGACCCAGAGAAGAGACATCCAAGGGACTTTGCTCTGTGGAAGGGGGTCAAACCAGGAGAACCATGGTGGGATGCACCATGGGGGAAAGGGAGACCAGGATGGCATATTGAATGCTCAGCTATGTCCAAGTGAGTATAGCCTATATGATAGGGGATAGTAGAGTGATAATTAACAGAATTAACAGAATTCATATTTGGGTTCTATGGATAAGCAGTTAAAAGATTTATAGAAAATGACAACTTTGTTCACTAAAGGGGGAAGAGGGAAGAGGGAATAATGTCCTAATGTAAATTATATTATGAGATTCTCTAATCTCTCATTTATTCCTTGCTATGACTGGCACATAAACATTTATGTCAATATTGTAATAACAATTCTTAAAAATTAAACTAAACTGGATGAAGTACCTGTACTTTAATGTCAGCTTCTGATATCACACATGTCCATCATGTTGCAATGCTCCCGGCACTCAAACACCATTACCCCGGTCATATTACTGACGGTCAGACATGTAGCGTTCTGGCATATTGGGTACCCATTAACACCTGGGTGGAGATTGGCAAATGTGGATTGATGTCTTGCTTTTAAAGGATGTTAGTACTAGGCTGGGATTTGAACCCTCAACCCTTGGATTGAGAGTCAAGTGAATGACCATGACACCTCCAATTTTATCATCAAGCAGCAAATACTGATACGCATATATATTTCTATCTTGTTCTCTGATAGGGCTATCTTTGGTGAGAGATTGGATATTCATACTGGTGGAAGAGATCTAGCCTTCCCTCATCACAACAATGAGATTGCGCAATGTGAAGCTTGCTTCAACTCAAATCAATGGGCTAATTACTTCCTGCATTCAGGTATAGTACATTGGATTTATACTTCTGATGGTGATGTCATAATGATGGTGATGCCATGATGATCCTGATGGCAATCATGGCATGACGATAATGCTTGTGGTAATGGTGATGATGATGGTGGTGGTGATGATGGTGATGACATGATGATGGTGGTGGTAGTGAAGGTGATGGTGGTGATGATGATGATAATGATGATAGTGATATTATAGTGATGATAAGCATGATGGTAAAGATAATGATAGTGATGTTGATGATGATGATGATGCAGATAGCAAGAGTAGATACTAAAATCAACCTTTCTTCTGCTTGAAGATTAAAACTATTATGACATTACAAGCTGTCATTCTTGAATTCAAAATCTCATTTTAACATTAGTATTATTTGTTCACACCTGATGTGTAGTGCTACCCCATGATATCTCACCTATTATGATCTGAATAACAATTCATTCCTAATTCTATGTAGTTCGATTTATCATTCTAAACATCTAGTGAGACAAATATGAAAATGTTGAGAGTATCATCTGCTCCCTATTGCATCAGAATTTGAGTCTCTACCACCTCATACATCGCAATGTTATATAAACAAGGCAATGGTCAAGCTTTATATTAATCTTCCTAATTTCATGCAGGTCATCTTTACAGGAAATATGATGCTGATAAGATGTCTAAGTCACTTCAGAATGTTGTTAGCATCCAGGACTTCTTGAAGACCTATACACCAAACCAGTTCAGATTTCTGTGTCTTATGTCCAAGTATGATCATGGTATGTATCAATAAGGCTCATTCAGATATGATGCGGCAAAACCACAGCTAAACTGCTGCTTTTTTGTTTAAATGGTGATGTAAAGTGTAATACAGAGCTGCCAACCATTCCGTTTTTGCTGGAATTACTCTGTTTTTTCCTCCAAATTACGGTATTACGTTTTTTCTTCATAAATTCTGTTTTTTTTTTTTACATACCGCACATCAAACAACTGCCCTAAAATGTTGATTTGATCACAAATTCAATAGAAAACTACGGTAAGTTTAAAACATACTTGAATACATACTTGAAGAGAAAAATATTATCAAAAGAATGAAATACCGGTACAGATAATACCAAAATTGGAAAAAAACTTTAAAAACCTGCTTGTATCGAGAGAAAAAAACAGCATAAGGAATGGACATTTCTGCATTGGAAGTGTGTCGCGCATGGTTGTAAGTTTTGTTTTAATGAATTCCTTTTTTTTGCCATCATGATTACTTTTTTTGGTCGCACAAGGTTGGCAGCTCTGGTAATATGCTTCACATTACTGAATCTTATAACACAGAGCTCAGTTAATATGCACAAGTCTTTTGTTGCATGCAGTTGTTATTTATTTCACACATTAAACAAAAACAGCAGCTTTTTTGTGGTAGTTTACTGTGTCATATCTGAGCAGCCCTTAGGTGTTTTGAAATTTGTCAATTAAAAAAGAATATATTGGAAATGACTCTATAACTGGTGATCTAGAGATAAGACGTCCTGTGACTTAGTCAGGCATACCCCTTTCTCATGTCATAGTTCAATGCAAAATTCTTCATTATTGCCCTGGGTGAATACCAATGTTCACTCTGTACTCTCCTACACCTCTCCCTTTCTCTATCTTTTTTAACAAAGATTTTAATTTTGATCAATGAATTTTTATGAAATGTCTACATGTTTGATTTTTGATTTATGTCATATTTTGTGTTATTTCAACTTTGAATTGCAATTGTATTATATCTATGTGAAATGGATCGTAATTCAGCCATTGGCTGCGATGATCTTTTTAATAAAAACCATTTCTATCTATCTATCTATCTATCTATCTAAAAAGATGATGACCAATATCATATTTAAAAAGATAATCATGTTTAGAGTGTTTAATTATGCATCATATTGACAACAAATATGCAATTTAAATCCATACTTTTCTGTTTTTGCATTTGATTTCAGATTTAGAGTATGGACCAGACACGATGCAGCAAGCTGTGGTGCTACATAGACAGATGTCAGCTTTCCTCAATGATGCTGATGCTTATGTCAAAGGTCAAATATGCTGTAAACCATTCAATGAAGCAGAACTCATGCAAAGGTATTATATGCTATGTTCACATGAGATCATGAAAGTTAGAAACTTTAAGTTTGTAAAACCTCAAACTTATAAACAAGAATCCATAATGACCAGGGTTTACACGGGGCCGAAACGAGTATTCAAAGTTTAAACTCAAAGCTGGGAAAGCATTAATTTTAACTACAATCTGGCATAGCAGCAAAGGTGTTTGCATCTGCATGGCACATAACTTGGAGTGAGGACCCCTACTAGCTGCTTTTAGCTATCATGCTAAACGTAATATCCTTCATGATTTATAACTTCTAGTTAACTTAAAATTTCAAGTATGTCCACATGGTCCCTAACTACAAGACAACTCTGAAGTTTAAAACCACAACCTTACCTTAAAGTTGATGAACTTTCATGTAAACCTATCTATTAATTCCTACCATTTCATTTGAAACTTAATCTAGTACATGCATGTACAATTACTTTTTGAAGAAACAAAAAGACAGTTTGATTTCACTAGCGTTACAGGGAATAAATATTTAATGACTCTTTGATATTTATAGGTATGTTTTCATTTCATTTCATGATTTGTCTATCTTTCTGATGTGATGTGATGTAGGTTAGAGACGACTCAAGAGGAAGTCATTGAGGCACTAGCTGATGATTGGAGGACTAATTATTGGTTTGATCAATCGTAACTCTTTATAAGACGCTCTTGTTTGATATAATAATTTGTTCATCTTTCTGGTGTGATGTGATGTAGGTTAGAGACGACTCGAGAGGAGGTCATTGAGGCACTAGCTGATGATTTTGATACAAAGAGGGCACTAGACTGCATCATGAAGCTGGCTCATACATGTAACTCTAATTTCAGCCAAGTGTCAGAGGTACATGTAAGCTCAGTATCATACATCATTCCAGTTGGATTATTTTCATTTGTTTTCATGTTATGTGCAAGGAAAACTATTGTATTAGAAGGGAAATATTAAAGGAATGGAGGAGGCATATGCTCATACAGCCCTATACAAGACGGTTATTGAATTGGATTAAATTTTACTCTAAAATAGTTGCAATCATGTCATACCACTTTTAAGACATGATTCTTTGAGACATAAGAAGATGTCTTTGTTTGATTGATGTTAATCTTTATGTTCATGTTAATTATATATTTTGTTTTAAATGTTGCTGAGAGAGTAATTGAGCGGTATGCTAATGGTGTTTGATTATTTTGAATGTTAGGATACATCTGGTCGCAGCCCTGGAGCAGTAGCAGCTGTAGCTACGTATATCAACCAAGTCTTATCTAACTTAGGATTACACATGTCTACAAGATCAGTAAGTATCTATCTGTAGATTAGATTAAAGCAGTCTGTTTCTCCAATTATTAATGCATTGTGAACCATATTCTCCCCAATTTTGTTAGTTTTGTTATGAACAATATTATACACAAAATTCTTATTTTTTCCTGCAAAACAGCTTGCAGATTTTTATCATGTGAAATCATGGAAAATGGAAAGCCATATAGCTGCCAAAATAAGAAATGGTGGGAGAGATGATTTATACATGTATCTGTAAAGCACTTAGAGACAATCATAAATGTATTCCAAAATATCAATATTATTAGATGCAGAACAAAAATAAAACTATTGTTGGAGCTATTTTATTGGTGTTAGTATCCAGGTTTATTGAGTAAGAGATATGATATGATGTACGTCTAACTTCAGTATGAATTATTCTGAAATATATTGCTATGTTCATTATAAACCAGTATGAACTAGACATTTTAACTTGTATGTAACAATGCTTTTAAGTAGTATGTTACTATGTTTATTGTATTCCAGAGTACCCAGTTCGACCAGTCATCACAAGCAATGACCGTTGCTCTAGACACATTGGTCAACTTCAGACAGGATGTCCGTCGATGGGCTCTTACTGACCAAGAGGATCATGGGATATCTAGTGTTAGTCAGAGCAGCCATGGTGAGTTTTGATAACAGTGTGGTCTTCAACATAATGTTTCTTCAACATAACTACCGGTAGTCTTTTAATACTATTCACCACTTTTATTCCTGAAGATGCTTTTTTAGTAAGGCAGGAACTACCAAAGATTATTATGTTTAGAACTGTGTGGAAAGAAACTTGTCAAGTTTGTATGAGAATACTCAAGTTTGTGGTCATACCCAACTACAGGTGGTCATTAGATTTCCCATGGATGACAAGGATGATGTGCATTAACATAGAATTTTTTTCTATCATCAAAAACATTTTCATATGAGATTCAGTTTCATCTAGAAATCTGTATTTGATTCAAAATTAATTTTGATGTATATCAGAACATGGGTAGTAATATAGAAGGTACAATATGTTTCTTTAAGAATCAATAATACAGCTATCACTTAGACATGTTGTGGTAATGTTACATTTCCTGTGGGCACCAACATATGTTCCATGCTATTTTATCAAAGAATTGGGATTAGCAACAGGGTTGCGATTTGGTTTTTAATAAAGTGTAGGGTTAGGGATATACCTGTATATGGTATCGAGTTGAAGTCAGAATGCTGATTAGTGTTAGAAATTGAATGAGGCAAAATTTTGACTAGACCTTGTTTCATACGAGTTATGTAATAAATATAACCTGCCTCCTTCTCACATTCTTACAGGAGATTCAGATGATGTGAGACAGAGGAGGAGAAAGCTGATGAAAGAGAGAGCTCCATTACTCAATGCCTGTGATCATGTTAGAGATACACTCACTCAGAATGGCATACAGATCAAGGTAATACATAACGATCATTCTCGTTCCTCTAGAGGCAAGTTCAAATATGTCGGGGTAAATCACAGCGTTTGTTTCTGTATGAACTGAATGGCATGTGGGGATGAAAAGTAGCTACAAGCGAGAAAGGTTCTATGCGTATATACTTATCTGGGTGTTGCAAGATACAAAACTGTAAACCTTGAACTTTCAAATACCGGTAGTAAACTCTTTTAGCAGCTCCTAGAAGCAATCCCAGGATGATGATATGCTGTGTGTCAGCAGTGTGGGGTGCGACGGTGTAGTAAATAAAAGCATAGTGAAGTATGCTTTAAATATCCACACAGGCACTGTAAATAATAGCATATGTGAACATGCCTTTAAAGATAGAGTTAAGTTCTGATTATGCGATTGCATTGTGGAAGAAATGGTGTGGAATCGATCAGAAAGGTTGATCATCTAGCATATAAGTATTTATGTGTATTGCAAATTTCTGGAATCATCAAAATGATAAGAAATTTGGCCAAGTCTTGGTAAAGTAACAAGCATTGTACAAAGAAAGATGTATATAGACTACACGAAAACGAGGCGTAAAAATCCTACCCCGGATTTTTACGATGTTACATGCCATATTTAGAATATGAAGGCATTTGAAGAGCCATGCTTTTCAGGGAGCATGTTTTATATGATGTTCTTCCACACTTGAATAATAACAATGATAACGCTCACAAATTATTTTTCACCTCTTCCCAGAACTCAACCTTCTCAGAACTCAACCTTCTCTTTAACATGTCATGACATATATTATTAATGTGCTTTTTTATTAATAGGATTTTCTTGTGTCTTTCGTTATCAGTCCACATGGTATGTTCAGATACATTGTATTTGTGCATAGGTAAAACAATAAATATTCTTGTTGTAAATTCAAAATTGTAATATCATCACTGCTAGAAGAAACAATTCCATGGGAGTCTTCACTGAAACTAATAGAATGCCTCATTACATTCAGTTTATCAAAATCATTAGGTCAAATAATGTGATATCATGAGATATTCCCAATTGTCTGTGTGTAATTGTGATGTGACTTTGTCCATTGGTAAATGTAGATATGACAGCTTATAATATCTATTTATAATATCTCTATGACGTGTGGGACCAAAAGTTGATCTCTTCTTTTTTCTTCATAGGATCGAGGAGCTACAGCCACGTGGGAGTTTGTTGAGAAGCAGAAACCAGTGAAAACAGAGGTATGATTTGCATTGGGACAATATTAAAGGGATAGTTGAGTTCTGTTTTCAGACCGCAAATGCCTTCAAAGTGCATGGTTGTTGCTCTTATTCTTATCTATGACAGTTCTAATGCCCTTTTAGAACCTAAAATTGCTATGATGGTAATTTTAGACCCCAAAATGTGTGAAATTTAGCCAATACGATCATACCAATTCAGCTCCACTTTCAAAAAAATATGGTGACCGTTAATTAATTATTTAATTAAAAATAACAATACAATAAAAATGCCCACAAAAAAGCCAACATCGGCATTGGCTGAAATACGACGTAAAAGGTGCTATTTCGTATTTTCAACGTTTTTTTTCAAATCATCTAATATTTGTGGTGGTACACAAGTACAGTGTATTAAAAATTGTTATATTTATGGATATTTCAGCCGTCTCTGAACCGATTTTGATCAAACAAAGATGATTTTGTCATTTGAATTGTATGTTCTTTCAAATTTGACAATCAGTTTTTTATTATCTCACAAAAAAAATTATTTTGTGTAGCGCCCTCTGCAACAGAACTCAACTATAATAAAAATAATAATACATTATATTTCTATAGCGCTTATTACAATGTTTCTAAGCGCTTTATATTAGGGCTAATTTGATCACTGTGAATCGAAAGTTATGGAGCCAAAGCACAAAATGTGGAATGATATTCGTGAAAGGGTTAAACACATGCATACATTTTATTGGAAATGTAAACGTTATTTCTTTGGGGAAATAATCATTAATGCCATTTCAAAATAGTCCATGTACAAGATACTTGGAATAAATTGTTTGATGTGAATATATCTTCACATGATCTGGACGTTTGATCATGGAGAATATAAGAGCCCCCATGTAGTTATAACAAGCAAAATCAAGATCAGAGTTTAACCATCTCAGATGATTTACATATTCTTTATTCTTTGGGCTTCAACAGTTGAAAGAACCGAACATCCTTTCTCCTCATACAATCGTTTATCCACTCAGTTTATATCTTATTAGTCCCTCTTTTTGCCCTCTTGGTCTCTTTTCTCACTCAATTTCCTAATCAGTATCAATTTCTCCCCGTTTCCTTCTTTTTCTGCTTGCTTTCTCTTAAATACCTCAAGTTTATACTCTCTATATCCACTATTTTTTCTTCTTCTTTAAAATTGTTATGTTGAAACTTCTTTATAATCTTGTTCTTCTCTCTCTCTCTTTTTTTCTTTTCCTTTTGCAGGACGAGACCGACAGATGACAAGAATGAATGGACGAGGGCAACAAACTTTGTTGATTGCAACATGTATTATTATCACAGCAAGCGAGCAAGCACATATAAAGATCTTATTTACATGAAATCTACTAAATACATTGCAACTTTAGTTACGTCTTTGGACTTATAAATTAATTACAAAATTAACTTTCTGATGGAATTGCAATATTTCTTTTGTACAGTATATCCCTTTAACAACACAAATCTTGGTTTGTCTGCAGGGACAGAATTAATCTGTCTTCGACCTACAGTGTACATGTAATACTGAAATAGCTAGAATTGTTCATCACATTACAACACATACATGTATAACTATATCAAGACTCAAGAGAATGGACAACATCATTACAAGAGATCAGGAGGTTCTATATTAAAGGAGTTAAGAAAGATTCAAGTTTTGAACAAAAATAGCACAGATCATAGTGGAATGTAATTCACAGGATTGGTTTTGTTACTAGTTTGATAAATTTTCAATATACATGTATTTAAAACTTAAAATTATTCTGCTTTATTCCTTATCTTAGCAAGACTGATATGATTCAATTTATTTACTTTTTAATTCAAATTAGGGATGAAAAGATTTAAAACTACTTTGCAAACAATATACATGTACATTTCTATTGTTTAGCAATTTAAATAACAGCTTAAGGCATTTATTTAAGTACAGTGGTGTAATTAACTGAGCTATGTTGAGAAGTATTGCAAATGAGTATTGCTAAAAACCAATGCCACGTATGGAGTACAATTACTGTTTCTCCTGTCTAATATCGTTCTAATAAATTGAGCCTGACTTATATACAGGTATACACAAATAAAAACATATTTTCAACAAGTTAACAATGCAGACATTACCATTGAACACTTGGACAAAGCAGTTACACATTTTGCAGAAGTTGAAAAGACAACCAACTCAAACTTGTCTGAGATGTTAGAATTAGACATTCCATCAAATAAGTCTTGAATGCATCATCCTTTATTTGTTGCCTGCATACAGATAGAATTGCTTATATTTCATATGTATTTGAATGAATAACCACAAAAAGGCACAACGATTAATACAAGATGGATCATAGAATTAAAACAAAATGAAAGACCGCAGAAATTAATATTTGCCAAATGAAATGTGTTTACAGATTCTAATCATCAAATCCCTAATATTTGAATGCATTTTGCTTTCAATTTCATAAATAAATTTTTAGGTATTTTTACACTGATGAATTTCATAAAAGCGTTTTATATATTATGTACCGTACTTGCAATGAATGTGATAAAGCACACCGTTACTTCAAATGTCTGTGAATAAAGAGTCATCTTTATCAGGTGATATGGTAGTAAAAAATTCTTTAAAAAAATAGATCCCAACTGTCACATCAATAACTGCATTACTTGAGATAAGGAATCCGTATTAACTTCAAATCAGTTCCTTGCTTCATGTCTAAGAATAAAGTAGATATATTTTCATTGTATTGATTTTGTGAAACTCATCATAATACAGCCTGAACATGAGCAGCAAGAACAATGTAAAATAAATTGTTTCAAACAAATGATAATCATACTGTGTCATAGAAACTGTATCTGTGAGAGAACGAATAAAGGAGATTGAAGAGAGATTTTGAGTGAGAATTATGGGGTTTCGGAGAGAGCATTTACTGGTTTAGTGCTAGGGTCCAAGAGAGAGTGTGTGTGTATGGATGTGAGGGAGAGAGAGTGAGCAGGAGAGCGGGAGAGCAAGAGAACATGAGAGAGAGAGAGAGAGAATCTGAGAGATGGCCCGTAAAAGAGAGTGAATTTGAATGAATAAGGATAAAATGGAGTTTCTGGGAGGGAAGGGAGATGGTTTCTAAGAGAGAAAAATAATGTTAAGAAGATATAACGTGAAATGTACACAATGCCAACAGGGGATGCTTACAGAAGCATGTATCGGTTTGAAAAGAAGGTTGAATTCTGGTCAAGTTTTTTTCTTTCATCCCTTTTTTTTTTAATGTGAACTTTCTTATTCCTTTCATATTGGTTTGGAGGAATATCAAATCAGAAATGTCCTCTGAAAAGGATTGCTTGTTGAATGCCCTAATATTTGAAAAACGATGAAAAATAGCTGAAAATTTGGACCACAATTTTCATGCCCTATGTGTGTTGTCCAATTTACCTGTGCAGTGCAAGTGATTTTAAACCAGATGGTATATTTATTTATTTTCATTTGGATCATTTAAAAAAAATCACAGAATACAAAAACTCTTACATACTCCATAATCACCTTTCCCAATAGACCAGTTTACCAACATATTCAAATTTTATGCACACTTTTTAAGCAGAGGTTGTTCTGGATTTCATGTAACCTTGCCTGAGGCTTGCCCAACATAGCAAAAAGTAATATATGCAGACTAGCTTCTGAGTATTGTAGGTAATTCATTAATAACAGATTAATGGAATATCTTGCCACTAGGTCCCCAGGAAAGAAACATCATAAATTTGGATATGTTACTAAACTGGTCTCTTGCTTCCAGAGTTTCTTTCACTATAATCACATGAACAGTACTCAACTTGATCATGAAGGTTGAGAATCAACTCATAAACTCATCAAGATTAGTTTCCTGTAATAAAAACTAATGTTGGTTAAAACACGAGGCCCAATTCCCACAAAAAGAACACACTGGTCATCACTGAATGTTTAGATGTAGATGTTTTGTCTAGCCATCAAGGTAGAAACGATCATCCCATGCAGGTTTACCAGCTTTATAACCAGACCACTTTGCACTCCTGGGTCGAGACCGGCCGGTACTAGACGAAGTGAAGGTATCACCACTGAAGTCTGTACCCAGACTGGACATGCTGGATGCCCTGTTCATTCCACCGGTGCTGTAGGCTTTACCTGCATGAAGCAAAGATATGACAATACATGTAGATAGGATGGTAATATGAATGCTTCTTCAAGAAATTACAATATTATCATATATAATTCTCTTCAGACTGGAAATACTGATTTTCCTATCACATGCTTTGCTTTCAACATTTTCTTGCTTTTTCTGAATATGCATGCTAATTTTCTTGTATAATACAAAATTCATAAAGCCAAAGAAGCACTATTAGCTCACCCCCACCCCCTGTAAACTGTGTCAATTTATCACAAATTATATGAACAAATCTTGAGACTGTTTTAACATATTTGTGGCTTACACCCAGTAAATAAGATCGTTTGATCGATCTGTAAATGAAAACAAGTTAGAAAAAATCTTGGAACCAGCTGGATTTGTACCTGCCATCTACTAATTACAGATTGTAAGCCACAAATATGTTTAAACATTTGAAATTTCTCCCAGGAAGCGTTACATTTATATAAAACAAATCTTGAGATGTTAGTCGTTACCTGATCGTTTAGCACTGGTTGGTCTTGATCTAGGTCCTCCAGGGGTCTTGGAGACCTGTGTAGCATACTGCATCTGCTGATGATAATCCTTCATCAGGGCATTTTTCTCCACCTCTGGGTTGGCCCGCGCTGCCTCGATACGCTTCAAGATTTGCTATAAAGAAAACAAAAACAAATCAATGATTACATGATTGAGAAAATATTACAGTTATGGGAAGGGTTCTATCTCTGTATTTATTTCTAGTTGACTGGAAGATTAAAATCATATATGACAACAGCACTGCTATCAGTGTGAATGAAATAGAACACAATTTGTTACATAAAAGAGTAAAATCCAATTGAAAAAAATGCTATATCAGAGCAAATACTGTATAAGAAATAATGATATATCATGTAGCAAGCTCTTTCCTTGATTGACGGTACAATCATATATTACAATGAACAAATACCACGTACTCTGAAAATGTATTAAATTAGTTAGTCTGCTTCCACAGACACTATGGTCTTCTAATCAGTATTTTCAATGACTTTGTGGAATTTGAGAATGCAATTTTGAGCTTGAACTCAAAGGCAGAGCAAAAATATTGCTGAAAAAGTCCCAACGTTATTTTCAAAAGGAATCAGCTATAGCTCTTTTAATGCTTGGCACATATTGGTGAGTAAAAGCAAATTTACATGTTCAGTATGACCATGCCATGGCTCAACACAGAATCTTGCCTCATTTATATAGTTAGCCTACCAACAAAGCCATTTTATGAAACTACATTTATTTCACTTGGTGTCTTATCCCATATGTGTAAATGTGTTGAATAAGTCCTGCACTGAATTCTGAATACCTAAGAAATAATGGAATTTTTAATTTTTAACTAAAAACTAAACCTTTGTATTAATTCTACTTTGGTCTTTACAGTACATCATGCCAACTTTTAAAAGAAGAGTGCTTGTGTGTTACTTTTGGGTCAGTGAAAAGAAGAGCAAGGAGAGATAGGTTTAATAGGTTTTGGAAAGAGATAGGTTTAATGTGTTTATATATCAGATGAAATCAGGCGTGAAGGTAATTATCAGCTTATGCCATTAAACACACTACATGTACCAGTAATTGGATTCTAAACCCCTCATTTGCTTGCAGCAGGGTCTCTCGTCATAAACTACACGTCCATTTAGATGTTTTGTTCGACTGGTAACCATGGTTACCATAATGCCTAGATGACAGTCCAGTTTGATGTAGGCCTAATGGAGTGCAACCTTTCATCAATCACATTGGTTTAATAGGCAGCTTTGTATTCAATATTCACTGCATAGTCTATGGGCTCATTCAAGTCAACATGCATCTGTATCTCATTATGTACTGTACACCATTTGCAATGGACCTTTAATAGCAGCATAGCTTTTTATTTGAACTTAAAGCACCTTGTTTACGTAATGTTGGCAGGTTGAATGCAACCAAAATGTTGTTAGTACACCTTTGTTGTACAATATTATTATGTAAACTATTACTTATATAACTACAATAAAATGTGTAAGGCCTACATACATGTAGATGTATATAGCCATTTGAATAAAATTACATAATAGTTGATAGAATATGAATGGGTTTTTTCTTGATATAAAATTAAGATTGGTTACAAAAGAAAAATACATAAGAGTAATTTTTTTTTAAATATATTGAATCTACACAACAGAATGATGGATGAGTGAGTAAAATTACATTAACAGATTATCATTCCCCATCATCCTAAACTATATAAACTTCCCAGCTTATACACTGTACAAGTTCCATTGATTTTTTTTCTCCTATCAACTAATTACTAAACCTATCAGAGAAACAATCTGAGCTACCGGTACTTATCCTGGGGCAAATTGAAAGGCTTAATGATTCATGCATGCATGCAGTATGACTTGATCGATTGTTATAACCAGACATGTGAAGAGTGTTACCTAGCAACAGCACTCTTTCAGACTGAGCACATAAATTTAACCTTGATTGTGCCTACCAGGTACACTTCACTGGATATGTCATGAACCATCCTCTCCCTTTTTGTCAATCTCCTCTTGTTCTACTGCATTTATCAGTATCGGGTGTTAATTATTAACAAAGTGCACCATACATCTACAATGTACATGTTCATCAACTGATGTCCATAAGCTCTAGCTATGACACAAACTAGTGCTGTATTCAAACGTTTAACCGTCCGGTATCCGACCGCCCATGGCGGATTCCGTTTTCAATTGGACGGTTTCGTTTTCTCGTTTAAAAAAAAAAAAAAAAAAAAAATATATATTTTTTTTTTTTTTTTTTTTTTTTAAGTTTCGATTTATGCCCCTCCACCTGGCACTATGCCTGGCAATGTCTCCCAGCTCAGTAATCGGTGTGATGACTTACCACTTGGAAACTAGAACAACACTTCAATTTGTCTGTCATCTTGGTTTGAAAGAAATCTTTGTAATAGATCTCAATATATTTTCATCCCAGTTTAACACATGGTGTACCACAAGGTTCTATCCTAGGTCCTCTACTGTTTTTAATTTACTTTAATGATCTTACACATTATTCTAAAACGACATTGTATTATTTGTGACTAGTTCACAAGCACAAATCGGCGCCTTCAGTTAAATCACCTTCCTGTTTTTTCACACGGCAAAAAAAAAACCGTCCGACAGGCGGTTAAACGGAATTAGAGATATCCGTGATGTTACAGCACTAACACAAACATACATGTACATGTACGGTACATGTATCTAACATCACTCTTCTTGACAGAGGTAACTACGGTACATGTCAAAGGTAAAAAAGCCTGAGGTAAAAATGTCAGAGGTAAATATGTAGTGTCAGAGGTATTGATAATTTGTTTTTTCCTTATCCTATTAATCAATTAATCTAATAAGCCTAATCCTATACATGTACATGAATGTACATGAATGTACACTGTAGGTTTCCGATACCAATCTGATAACCGTATGCTTTGTCTATAACCCAGTCAAAACAGACTGTCAAAACAAAATTTGATAACTTAAAAAAAGTATATTTGCAAGTTTAGGTCATGAAATGAACGAAAATTTCAATCCTGTCACTTCATATCATTGTTTCCAGTGAACTACTCGAAAGTGATCAACAGAGGGTACAAAGTTCAGGGTACGGAAATATAATTGTAGGACAGTTCTCACATTTGTTTCTATCACTTTTAGAAAGGTAAACTGGCTTCAGGAGTCCCAAACTATTGAGTTTGAGTCTCAACGCCTTGAGATTTCCATCATTCAGTACAAACATAAGAGTATCATGGAGAGTGAATCCTGCACCTTGTACCAGTACATGTACTGTACAGTATATCAGAGTCAACTTTGTAATTATCTACATTAGTCTAGACCCATATCAACGTGAATAGTGCTGTGATTGTCAAGATGGGCTCATAAGCTGATGCTTCAAGCCTCAACAACTAAGTAAACCAAGTAAAAGTAACGATTTCAATATAAAAACATAAATAAATCTTAACTTTTAATTTATCTCATCTTTTTTCCCTCAAAGCTTAATCTCATTCTCCAAATCACACGCCTTACTGCTTTTACCTATTAAGTACAAGTTAAACAGCTAAGCTTGTACCTTTTTTGTGTGAGCATTGTTTAAGGAACACAAGTTGTCCATAACTTCTGAATACATTGTACACGTCCCCTAAACAATGCTCACACAAGAAAGATACAAGCTGTTTTACTCGTACTTATCGGTAGGTTTACTAATATCCTGATAATTCACTATGGTGTTTTCTTCTTGTTTGTTTTTTTATTTTTTCCCTCTCTCTCCCTATAATTTCTTGACAACAAAAACAAGCATTTGAAGCAGTTGATTTGCAAAGAGGAAACTTCATTAAACGTTCAAAAAGTGCATATTTTGAACCAAAAAAAAATGACCATGTAAATCTTTGTTTGACTCTTAAATTAATTTATAACCCCTACCCTACATGTATGATCTTGTATGGAATATGAAAACTATGAAATTAACAATATTTGTGACATATCACAATGAAAACAAAAAGCCTAGACTAGATAATCAAAGTGAACTGACTATGATCTTAACCTACATGTACATTGTATTAACCCAAATCTAATCAGATTGTCATCCTATGGTTAAAAGTTTGAAGTTCAAATCTCAGGTGGTTCTTGAGATATCGCGATAACGAGAAAGCGGGATGGACAGACAAACAAACTGAATACATAATGAGGCATAAACATGAAATTATGAAAATGTCTTTTGGAAGGCATAAGCATTGAATATCTAGAGAACTTTCTAAACCTACATGAATATGTCAAATAAAAATAAAGTAACCTACAGAAGGACTCTATTAATATCATGTACTTTACTTTAAATTTACTTTAATACACAATGTTGTAGGTCTAAGCCTATTCATCGATCCAGGATTCTTCCATGGTTACTGCTATTTATGGAGGGAGGAGGTTGTGTGCTACAGAGACGCCAAATTCAAAGATCGGCAATGCGTGACATTTTCAGACCCTCAAAATGCATGATGTCACGCCTAATGCATGACACCTTGTAACTCTGGTGCTAACATGAGACAACAGACAACACCTAGCCGGCTCATACAGAAGGATTGAATTTTTTGACCAGTGACTATCAAGTCTATTCTTAAAATTGGAAAGAAATGATAAGCTATACAAACCATGTTTTCAATCTCAATTCTGCGTTGTTCTCTCTGTCTTTTCACTGCTGAATGACTGACTGGTTTCTCTGGGGCATTGGTGGTATGCTTTGCACTGCTTGGTCTAGTGCCTCGGCCTGATCTAGAAGGCTCAGAAGACCTCCCAATGATCTTCTCCAGGAGTCTACTATTATCTTTATCAATACGTTTCACTTCATCATTACTAAATGACATGTTCATTCTCTGGTGAGGCATTGGGGCAGACTGTGGTCGACTTTTCCTCTTCCCAGAGATTGGTCTCTTTAAATTCTTGTGAAGTGCAGACAAGTCGGACTCCTTCGGCGTTTCATCCAATTCTAGCACTGCTCGTAGCAGCATGCTCAGTTCTTTTGCTTCTGTTTCTCGTAGACGAGGATCCTCATTATATTGAGAGTAGCCAGGAGTTTTTGTCACCTTTCGACTCTCTCTGGTCTTTGATGATTTGGGTCTGCCTTTGGCACGTCTTTCATTGGAATCTCTGTAACTGTCTATGTCGTCTTCTTCAAAGTGTACACTTCGCATTCGCTCTGTTTCCCGATCCATTGCTTGTTCATCATATTCTAGCTTGGGAATAGGTGAACTCCGCGGACTTTGCAAGGGCGATACATCTGTCACACTGTCATTGTCTCTGTGACTTTGACTCGACTCTGAAGTAAAACTAGAGCTTGATCTTGAGCTTTCAGTGGATGAATTGGAACTTGAACTATGTGATCTTCTTCTACTGACAGAGGTTTTTGGACGAGATTTCGGACCAGTTTTAGATGTGGCCTTCCCATTACGACCATCTCCTCCTCTCTCATGTCGTTTTTCTTTGAGGGCATCAATTTCATCGTTAAAACGAAACGTGTCACTACCATTTTTTGCCTTCTGTCGTTCTTTATCACTATCATCAAAATCATCAGAGTAGTAATCCGCTTCATTACCATCATCGTGAGTTGGAGTTGCTGTTGGAATTCGGACGCTTACACTGCTACGGCTGCTAGCTGCACTACGCACCGACTCTCTATCATTGTCCCCGTCGTATCCCCGTGCACTGCCGCTCCGCTTACCGCTCTGAGGTCGGTTAGGTTTTGGATCCGCAGCGTTGGACCTCGAACTACGCTTCGTTGATGGACCTTCGTCGAAAAAGTCGAAATCTATCGGATCTGAGCTACCGTGCTGGTCCATTCTGTGTTCATCGGTTGAGTTAAAATAGTCTAAATATGCTTCAAATTTAACCCATCAGTGTCCGAACTTTCATATATTCTTCAGCACCAGCTTGAATATGTGTTGTAGCAACTGTGACGTCAGAAGCGTCGAATTACTCACATTCTTACCAACAGATGGCGCTCAACTAAATGGCAAAACGTCTACTCAAAGCACAGCTCTAAAAATTGTGAGAGATCAAGAGAGCGAAAGGGTCACACAATTTTCAATTTTTATGGAAGGCGGGGGGGGGGGGGTCGGAGGGTCCATCTGTCTATGGTTGTGTATGTGTGTATCTATGTTGTCACTATTTTTACGGCTTATGTAAGTTACACAGGGTAGGAGGGCTTAGGATCAAGACAGACCAATTCCTCATTAATTCCCGCTTAGATCCAGTTTGGATATAATGAGCTGCTTCTCAAATTTTATTCGAATGGAAGCGAATATATGTTCTTCATTCTTATTTTTTTACACGTCGGGTTTATCGATTCGCCTGGATTTTCTCTTAATCCTTGGCTTCTGATGATCTTTGAAGATATTTGCCTTATAATCTTCGATAAACCAAGCCATTTTAATGTAGTGACGATCCCATCGAATTATTCAATATAGGACTACGTCCGTACCCGGGGGGAGGGGGGGGGGGGGCACAACCGACACATATACAACATGCATTCAAGTTACTTTATGAATAATAATCATTTAAGGAATTAAGGGCTTTGCTAAAATCGATTGGTTTTACAATTAAATTGAGAATATTTCTGAACATTTCGTGGATTAAAACAGTTTTTTGACTTGGCAGCCATGACAAAATTCATGCTTTTCTAAATTAATGGCGAAATCAAAACAAAGTTTATTCCGTGACATTCTTCTAATGTTAATAAATTGCACGATTCTAAAGCATGATTATATGTTTCATAATTTAGTCCCAAAATAATTATACATGCCAGTTTTTTGTTGGAATGAAAAATGGTGCACAGTGATGCCTTCATATACCCCCTCCCCCCCCCCCCCCCCCCCATGAGACCCCATGACTATCCGATTGTTCCGTGGTGGTCGAGGCCTCTATCTCCATGTCTCAAGAACCACTTATTGGCATCGATTACACAATTCTACCTACGGTTATTCACTTTTTAAACATTTCATTCTGTGCACGGAGTTGCAGCACATGATTTTGAAGTCTTCCAGAAAGTTCCGTTTAGTCCGTTGAGAGTTGTTTATTCTTCCATCAGGAGCAACACGAGTACCTGGGCTTTTCTGGGGGTTATGGCGCCCGGAGCAAAATATGAACTTGAACCCCACTAAAATTGTCAGCTCAAAATACAGAACTTGATAATTTACATAATATGTACTAAACCCGAGATTGATCACCAAACTTCGAATAGGTATACATTGAAACGCTGGTCCAGGAGCAAAGCGACTGAGCGGGAGATTCTTTGTACCCGTTATCATCCTAAGAAACGCAATTTCTTTTACAATCTTGTTCAAATTAGCTCCTCAACTGATTGTTAATTTCGATCAAATCATGGGGGAGTACATATTGATTCTCTTTCATCTTCAGGGTGCAAAGTTAGTGAATTATTTTTAAGGGTTTAGCTATTATTGAATTTCTTTTAGATTTATGAGGTCGCAGTGCGAAAAATTACATCTTATAAAGAGGACAAAAAACAAACCATGATGAGTTTTAAGTACAATCTTATGAAGAAAGACTGAAAAGTTCTGTTGTAAGCGGCATAATTAAAATTATAACAACTATATAAACGTGAGCGAGCTCTAGGAAAAATTAAAGAAAAAAGGGGCTCTAATTGCTTTTAATTTAGGGTGCATGTTATGGAGAAAGGAAAAGTATGCACTTCATCAGAAGCGAGGACAGTTATTAGAAAAGAAAAGGTGCACGTGTCAAAGTAAAATGGGCAATCATCAGAGGTGAAAATGGGGCTCTTCTTGCACTTCAAAAGGGACACTCAACAGAGATGAAAGAAGGTTCTTGTGATAAAAGAAATATTTGGCCATTTGTTGAAGAAAAAGGGCACCTATCAGATTTTAATAGGTGGATTTATCAGATGCTTTAGTTTCTTTTGTTTGTTTGTTTTTGTTGTTACTGCTTTGATGTTTTGATGTAAACACTTATTTAGTTTGATATACTTTTTTCCTATTTTCTATTTCTTTCTTTATATATATATATATATATATATATATATATATATATATATATATATATATATATATATATATATATATATATATATATATATATATATATATCTGTTTTTGAATGCTTCTTTATATATAATTGTATGTATGATGTAAACTCGCATTTTCAGTCTTTGGACTTTTTGACGAGATTGAATAAAACCTGATTTGATTGATAGATGTAAAAGGGGGCGTTTTGAAAGGGAAGGGGCTCATATTAAAAAGGTAAAGGGGCACCTTTCCGAAGAAAATATGGTACTTATTAGAAAGGAAAAGGGGCACGTGTAAAAATAAAAGGGGAAATTATCAAAGGTGAAAGGTGGCATTTGAGAGAAAGGGAAGGGGTTCTTATTACAAAGGGAAAAGGGCACTTATCAGAAAGTGCACTTATTAAAAAGGGGAAGGGGCAAAAGTAAAAATTAAAAAAGGGCAAAAATATCAGAGGTGAAAAGGCGAATTTCTCGCAACTCAAAAGAGGCACTCACTAGAAATGAAAAAGGGCACTAATGAGAAAGGAGAAGGGGCGCTTATTATAAAGGAAAAGGGGCGCCTGTCAGATTTTGATAGTGGCAACTATTGGGGACGAAAAAGGGGCATTTATGAAAAGGAAAAGGAGCACTTTTTAGAAAGGAAAAGGGGCACGTTTCAAAATAAAAGGGGCACTTATCAGAGGTGAACAGAGGCACTCATCAAAGAAGAAGAGGAGCACTTATCAGAAGGGGGAAGGGGGCAATTATTAGAGGTGAAGGGGGCACTTCTCAGAGGTGGTAAGGGATACTTCTCGTACCTGAAAAGAGGCACTTACCAGAGATGAAAAGGGCACTTTTGAGAAAGGAAAAAGGACACTTGATGCAAAGGAAAATGGGGCATTTATCAGAGGTGAAAAGGGATAGTTATGAGAGAGTGAAGGGGATCTCATTTTTTGTAAATGGAGGGGGTGCACTTATCAAAAGGAAAGGAGCACTTATTACAAGGGGAAGGGGCACTTTGGGGTACCTGAAAAACTGTGCCCCCCCCCATAGTGTCACCTCTGATGCAAAGCAGTGTCCAATAACAACTGAGTTTGTAAGAATGCTCTACAAATTCAATTACTTTATTTTATTTTAAAATTAAATATTCCAAGACTAGTGCCTTGATTTTTTAAATGTAAAAAACACTGCTTTCCAATACTTTTGAGACCACTTCAGAAATTTGAATTTGTACATCATGTAGCTTATAGCTTATAGACAGTCAATTTCACTTAAAAAAGGAAAAATACATTGAAAAGGGAGATTTTTAATATTTGAAGTATATGTGATAGGTTTGTTTAATTCATTTTTACTTTTGAACTTTAAAAAATTCTATTTTTAATCATTCAAAATGATTATAATAATTTTGATACTATTTCACTTCGTTTTTTATTTTTACATCAAACAAATATCAATCTTTCAACATATATCTCTATTCTTCTTCTCTTTGTCTCGCTGTTTATCTCTCATTCTTCACTTATATCCTCTCTTCTCATCATTTCATTTTCTCAAAATTCTGCAGTAATCACTTTCTTGTTTCAATCAATACAACTTGAAGAGTTAGTCTGCTTTGAACATGAACTTGAAGCCATTTATTTCCAGGCACCACATACATTGACACACAGAACAGAGACAAACCAGGTGACGTAAAACAAACACAAAATATCTACTAAGTTCTTCCACAGAGGATGTAGAACATTCCAAGTGGACAGTTGGAACTATTGCAGCCATTAGTGCCTTTCTGCTTCTAACCTAATTGACAATTTAATTCAATTAAGTCAACATGCATTATCTTTGGGTAATATGCATTGCCTAAGTTGTTTTGAAAATCAGAAAATTGATTAAACATACCTTTAAGTGTTGCAAAGGAGCCCTGTGGCAATGAGGGCATATCATAAAGAACTCATGTTGCTACTGTGGACTTATTTGAAATATTTTGTTATATAGCTTTCATAACATTTACAGTTTCTGAGAGTGGAATACTGTACTTCCACTTTCATTTGAAAGTTCTGACTCAAGTTTTGATTGTTATCTTATTTTAAAATCTATTATGATTGCTATACAGGACTGAAATATATTCCTGTGTTCAAGATGTGGATGTTCACACTTGCTACAGATTTAGGACTTTAAATATATTGCATTGTTGACACATCAGGCTTTACATTCTGTTCATGCTGTGTACATTTGAGGCATAAGCCAGCATTAAAAATGGAGGGAAGATGAGGGGCACTATAACAGATCTGAAATTATTGTTCAATACCCTTATACATGTGTTTGAATTCATTTGAAATAAAACTGGAATAGAAATTGCATTTTTTTTAAAAATCAGTAAGTATAGGGTACAAAATAATTATCTCAAACTGTTGGCTACTCGCTAACATGACTACCTCAAAAGAACTGTGAAGCTGTGAGCAAAACAATATATTTAATTTCATTAACTGTTTTCTACTCTTATTGGAAATGCAAATTAATGTCACTCTGTTCCTTTACCCTCAATAATTAATTACTTGGTCCAATAAATATTCATTCATATATCATAACATCAAAGTTTACATCATGTTATAATTATGTGATCAATATACATAAAAACTGCACTGCCATGGCAAGCTAAATCAGACATAAATTGACTTGATTTAATAAGTTACATTAAATGAGTTGGAATTTCATATAATGAATTCATATAATAGTAAAATCACTAATATTACGATGAATATTCGCAATGTTATGTATCATTCATTCAAGAACATTTCACATTAAAATACATGTAAGGTATAGTATCAATTCTTATTGCAGCTAACTTGATACTGTTACATCTCACTCATAATAAAACATTCTTTAAGCTCATAAGCAGCAAGAAGGAAAAGCATAGTATTGAAATTTTCATTTTCCTCAATCATCTCAGGCATTTACTGTTGAAACACAGTTAGAATTCACCATTAAAATATCAATAACAATTCACAAAGCAAATTAAATGATTCATTAATGGTTTTACACAATGTTTTTCCAGGACAGGACTTGGTGAAAAAGTTGTTTTTTCTCAGGTCTGAAGCAAAGAAATTATCAATGTTCTTCAATTAGCTTTGGAAGTTATAAAAAGTCAACTTGGTTCTATCAAAACAGTTTCCCTTTAAACACACAAGTTCTCCTCTTTTGAGAGATTTATCAACACGGAATGGAACAATCTGTAAATCGCAAGGCTAATAACAATTTCTTACATGTAAATGTATTGAAAGCTGGGCAAATCATTAAACTCATTGAATAGAATAGAATACTAATCCTTGGTGACAGGTACAAGCCATTAAAGAAAATGTCTTATTTCTTGAACTTGAATACAGGCGTTACAAAGCAAACTTCTTACTCTTTATGGTTGTGTTCTGCTCTCAGAAGTGTTTTTTAAAATAATTTCTGTTTTGCCTTGGATAGAACAAGAGTCATTTTATCTGTATCCTCTTGTCCTACTATGAGCAGAAAATAAAAAGGAAAGCAGAGACCTTGGAACATCAATCAAGTCTTTAGAATTGTTTTGTATCCACAAATGCTTCATATAAGTGTTAGCAAAGAATAAAAGAAGAGAATAGACTGCTCCATGATGATTTATGTTTGACCCAAACTGGATTTTGATTGCAATTTGCTCCCAAGCCAGCCCAGCTCTCCTGACTATCAATCATAAGCAACCAAGATCAATAAGCCCCAGGTTTACTCATGATGGAATAAAGATCTTTCAAATTAGCAATCCTTCACTTCTTTGTTAACCCTTTCAGGACAGCAATTTTTAAAGGGATAAATTAATCACCTTTTATTCTCCAATCTGGAAACGATAATAGTTTCCACTTATTCCTACATTGTTCTTATAAACTGTTATGTTTCTGAAAACAATGTGCATGATTATAAGCTATGTTGATTAGTTTTTAAAAAATTGGCAGTTTTGTTTAAAAAACAGTGATTTTTTTCAACCTTAACGTATTGCCGATTTAAGGATTTTTAAAATTTAATTCCTTTCTTAAATTCCTGGAGTCAAATGGAAGTTGTCATGCAACCAAGTTAGACACAAGATGGGCAGAAATTGTCACCCTTTCTTTCTATGCATCTGGTATATCTTTAAGGGCTCTGAATAAATAGTTGATGAAACAAAGCCAGACGAACAATTCGTTGCGGATTTTCCTCACTACCGTCACTTCGTGAAAATAGGAACGAATAATTGTCTCAAAAGGGATAAAGGGCCACAAGAGCTGTTTTAGTCCTGTTCAACTCATTGAATATGATCTGAGTGTGGTGTAAAACACATTTTTTACAGCCACTCAGCTCACAGTATCTCAAGAGTAGCATTCAATGTGACAACATTCTACATGGAGGAATTGAGCTGCTACGGATGAAACAAGTTGGTTAACAAAGAATATATCAACAAGAAATTGTTTTCTTTCCCAAAATTGACTGGAAATAGAAACAAGGTAAATCCTACTTGAACATGTCCCCAAAGTATACAGCAATGACAAATGAGATGTGAAACAAACTATTGGTGACCCATTCTTACTGTTCCATGGGAACAAATGCAGTCATCATTAGTCATAGGTCACATTTCCACATCCGCATGCAGAATGTCATCTTAAAACGAAAAGAATTGATGTGATATAGTGGTTTCTTTCGACCGAGGGGATTATAAGAGAGGTGATCATCTCCAGATGGAATATAACAGGGAGGCGTTTCACAAAACTTGTTATCAGTGACAAATGACAATTTTTGTTATACGCTACTGAAATCTGTGCTTCTGATTGGTTATCAGCAGATTTGTCACTGAATGTTGTCATTTGACATTGAAAAAAGGCTTTGTGAAACGGGCTCCAGGACATCATTTATAAGACTTTGAAAAACTAGACAAGACATATAAACAAGTAAAACAATACATCGGTTAGAGAGCCTTCTCTAGAAATAAACATATAGTTTGATAAAACTTTGCATACCAGTACCATGTTCACAATAAATAAATCTCAATTGCAACAATCATAGCATCTGTACATCTCAACATAATCATTATGTTCTCATTGTATTTGGTACTTGTTTAAGAGCTTGGATTTGAAGATCAAGGATTGGCATGATAATGGAGAATGTAAACAAATGATATATGTACAAATACAATTAAAAAAAAAGTTATAGCTGTATTGCTTCAAATGTACAGACAGTATATTTCAGCAAGAAACTAAAATCTTATCCCAAGTAGAACTGATATTCTTCAGTTTTCCCTACAATAAACTATAAACAAGGAACTTTTTGTCTAAAGTAATTATTTGATGAAGAAAAAAAATGTATAACCCAAGTCAGATGATTAGGCTAATACTCCATACTACATCCAGGTTAGTAAAACGGTTAGTTAATTTCCTTATATGTTGTTACTTTTCTTTTGCACCTTTAGAATATAAGTCATGTGGAGTTCGTGCATTTTAATCACTCTACATCTACATCATTATTATTGTATTATCATTATCATTATTATTATCATTATCATTATTATTATCATTATCATTATTATCATTATCATTATCATTATTATTATTATTATGATATTATTATTATTTTCATTATCATTATCATCATTATTATCATCATTATTATTATCATTATCATTATTATTATTATTATGATATTATTATTATTATCATTATCATTATCATTATCATTATTATTATTATCATTAGTATTTTAATGATTATAATCATTCATACAACATCATTATTGCCTATTGCACAGAGAACTTTGTATCCACTATAAGGCGCTGTATAAATTGGTTCAATTATCATTTCCACTAATGTGTCATTTTACTCTCTGTATTTTGCAGTTGACAAACTAGTTATGTTCGCTGCTTTAGCAAATGGCTATCTCACGTTAGGAGAAGTAAGAGATTATTTGCTTAAAAAGCCAAGATCAAGTGTTTTTACATCTAGTATAGGAATAAGTGAAATAACATTAAGAAAAGATTAAATCCATAAATGGTCACTGAAAAATGTTTGGCAAATGTAATTGTAATATATAGATTAGTCAACATAAGAAATCATTTTGAAACTTCTGTAAAGCATATCAATTTGGCAATTATTCTTTTTTTAACAAATTAAATTCATCATTTAAAAAGAGATGAATGACAAACATCCCAAAATAATTGCTTTAATTTGTTTAAAACATTAATTGAATAGGAGTAGTGGATGGAGCCAAAATAAACAGATACTACTGAACAATTGATTCCAATACCTATACGCGTATGTAACCCTAACAAACAATGCAAAAATGAATCAGGTAAATCTACTGTTTCCACAGTTATAAATACAGATCAAAATGTCACACGCCTTCTTTTTATTACACCATTCAATTGTAATCTGACGTAACTAAATCGTTCCTATTTTCACGAAATGCCGGTAGTGAGGAAAATCCACACGTAAATTGTATGCGATTTTCATTCACTACCGTCACTTTGTGAAAATAGGGACGAAATGATTTGTAAGAAGATTCCCTCATTAATTTGATAACAGGTATACTGGCCATTGAATATGTCGAGATTACTGCTAGAAGCAAAACAATAACTTCAGCTAAAGCTTTGCAATTACAGATAATTCAACCTCCATGAGTGTGAAATTATCTTCTAATTTACCTCTAATTTGCCTTAAGGTTGATCACACATTTCTTGGGAATAATGGCACAATGGAATGAAAAGGTGGGTTTTAAGAAGGGCTCACCCCCCCCCCCCCCAAAAAAAAAAAATCTTATCTTAATTCATATAATCAAGATTCATGGTTAAAACTAGTCAGAAAATGGCACAATTATTAATCATTCTAGTTTGCAATGCTGCAGGACGCTGACCAATAAAAACTTGGATTTGGAAACTGAAGGGGTTTAGTAGTTGAAGTAGTCCTGCTGAGTAGTCCTACTAGCATCCCATATAAACAGTTCAGCAAGAGTCTTGGTGATTTAAAGTGCTTGGCTCAACATTTTTTCCTAATAATTTTTTTCTCCCTAATATATCATATCATTAGGAAGTTTTGAATTTGATGTGTTTTTCATATTCATATGAGAATTGACAAACTGACCGATATCTTTCTTATACTCAGCAGATTAAATTGCGATGATAACCATGTCACTGGGTTTAATTCAGAAGAAGAACGTTTTGAATTGTACATTTTACTTTGGTGACACAAAGATGCCTTTAAGTTGAATTAACCTGTGAAAGAAATCAATCCTGAGATTTTAAGTTATAACATTTACACAAAAGCGGCATAATACAAATATATTCATTGTTGTTAAAATGAAAACCCACATTGATCAAAAATGGAATTCTTTTATAATAAGACGATAATAACATTAACATTTCATTCCCATTATCGATTAGAAGACTTTATCTTAATCTTGCCTTTAACGCTACCATAAAAGCACTAATAACGTGCTTTAATTTGTAACAATACTGTGTAAACTAATGTGAATTAGTAGCTATATCGCAAATTACAAGTTACAAAAGAAGTTACAAACAGTGGGTAGGATTACAGGTTATGTCCCCATCTGGAGCTTACTCAGTTCATGACCTGGTGTGACCTCTCACCCTTGACCTTCATCCCATAACCTTTGACCTTGCGACCTATTTATGCTGGGGCGCTGTCTGGCTTGGATTGCCTTGGTAGGGTTCATTTTGTCAGGGTCTCTGAGCTTTTGTGCCTGTTTAGAGCAAAAAAATATAAGAAAATAAAGAATAAGATGGCTGTTAGGGTGTGTCTAGTAGCAAATGTTTGATCAATAATTGTTCTCAATGCTAAAAGAGGGTTATTTTTTTGCATGCCATGCATGTTTTGTTTGCCATAAGAAATGCTTTGCAATGTCTGTGTGTCATTTTCATTGAGAACACAAACCAACAATGACAAAAGGTAATTTCTAATTTTGTTAATGCAATTTGTTGATGATTGTTCAATACTAAGCTATTAAAAGGAACTCTATGATTTACAATGCAACCCTTCCAAGTTGTATACAAAATTAATTTCAATATAAAAATGTAATTGTCATTGGTTTAGGGGAACTTAAAATGTTCACACAGTTATATTAAGTAATTAAAATTTGAATCAGGCATTTGCTTAAAGTGCTTCTTGTGTTTGCTCTCTACCACTTGATCTTTTCCAAATGATCTTGATGCCAATCAAAACCATTTCTCATCGGAAGTAATATCATTATGATACTGACTGGAATGAAATAGATGTGACAAGTGAATTTTAGGCTTTAATTGATTCTATGATGAGATGAAATTAAACCAAGAAGCATTATTTTATCACATGCAAGCAATTAGTGTTCCCATCACCAGCAGAGTCGGGTCAAAGGTCAAAGGTTAATCTTATGGTCTATAGCAGTGCAAGAAGGTACTTATTAGTAAAAGCTTCAAAATATTCAAACCTCTGTGGAATAGTTAAAATAGTGAATGTTAAAAAATAATTGCTATACACTTTCATTACCTCTACATCTTCAAGTTTTTCAAATGTATAGGCGATGTACACAGGAATTTAAATGAATATTCTGAATAAAAGTGTGCATTTGAGAGTCACCGCAAGGACCTTCGTGCATTGACATGATTAGTATGCGCAAGGTGACAGGCAAGAAATCACACCACCTATCCCACAATGCAGTAGTCTGCACATTCAGAGTGAGAGAAAAACCAGAGCAAACCTCAGATGTGATTGGATGAAAAATAGACTGCAATATTCATGGCAAATGTCTCATCTTCCCCTGGTGCATTATGTAGTCTCTTACATACAAACTAAGAAACAGGATTGCATTCACTGTGCAAGAATTAGAGAGGCCTGATGAAAACTAGTCTTTAGATGAAAGTGGCATGAGCCTGCATGGCAATAAATGTATTAATTTGAGAGCAATTTTATAGATGATGTTTATCATCTCATAAATCTTTTTGCTGTCTGCTAATTGCCCTTAATCAAATATCAAAATGTTTGCATATCAATTATCTGAAGGATGTTTGAAGTGAGAGAGAAAGGCATATCAAGATTAGTGCGCAGGTGAGTAATTTAATTTCCTTTTTTTCATTTTACAACATCTTCAAACCAGGAGGATGAAGGATGCAATTTGAACATCTCAACTGGAACCTTGCACTCTATCACAGATGGAGAGTGTCTATTGTCTCATTATACTGCCCTCTGGAGGGATAAACTCAATGATATTCATTCTAATCACTCCCTCTAAAATGGATGGCAATAACAGACAACCCTCCCCCATGGCCCCACATAAAGAGCATCGTGTTATTATTGCGCTGTGTGACCATCATAAAATATTGGCGCCCTAATAAAGCCTACTCCTCTCGAGTTGGATACTTCAGAAAATAACAATCGAGTCTTGTACTGTTAGCAAATTGTCCACACTACATGCAGCTAACCCTTTGAAGATGATTTGAATTTTGTTTCACACATTCTAAAGAGGGGCTTTCTTAGATGTAGTATTCAATGGACTGACATTACAGTTAAATGATGTTTTTCTGAAGGTTTATAATTGTGAAGGTTTGTTATTCCGAACGTTCGTAATTTCGAAGCTTCATTACTCTGAAGGTGCATAATTTGGAATAAACATATCTCCAGAATAATGAACCCTATTTCATTTTTGGAATTATGAACCTCTGGAAAAGCGAACCTTCAGAACAAGGAGTACCTTCAGAACAAGGAGTGCCTCCCGACATTACAGTCTTTTGAAGTAAAAGAAAAGTCATGAACAACCCTACCCCTGAAACTCCAATAAACATTCATAGTTACTAATTCCTAAACCATGATTACCTGATGAGATATTAAAAGCCTCATTAACTTTGCACAAATGAACACTTTAAGAGGCACCAGGGTTAGACATCCAACATGAATACTGCAGTCATTTTCCAATCAAATGTTCATGAAATAGTGAACCCCTTGACAAAATGAAATGGTACTATGGCATAATTGACTTTCATGGCTTCAGTGAAATGTTGTGCGAGTTTTATTTCCCTATGTGACTATGTGAAACATATTTTCTGTCATAAATGTTACGTGAAAAAATGATGTGAATTTGTCTGGATTATAATATGATACAACCTAAAATTTCTGAAGAAATATTTGATGAAGAAAAATGAAATGATATGAGTAATGTAACTGAAATAAAATTAATGTGTGTGTGTGTGTGGGGGGGGGGAGTTAAATATGATTTATATGTATAAGAGTTCAGTAGATAAATGTTCACAATAACATGAATATATGTGTAATGATGATGATTATATATATTTGTCTAAATTAAATAAACCAAGTCATAAACAGGATCAGAGAGACACAATCTGGATTATAACATTCCTATCAAAGGCTGAAAATAATTTCTGCTACCTTCACACACACAAAAACATTAAGAAAAATTAATATAATTTCAGTAACCTAAGATCACTTACATAGTACTAGATAATTAGGCATGAAAATATACAAGATTAAAATGTTTCCTACCCAAGGCCTTGTACACAATCTAACTCTCACACACTACATAAAATAGTAAAATAAAATACAATTGTCTATTTCAACACTTTACAAAATTACACACAAAACAAAGCTGTGTACATTAAAGCTTGGTGGTATATATATATATATATATATACATATATATATAGACATATATATGCAATATGAGAATTTGACAATTTGGTTAATTTGGTAAATAAATCACAGTACTGGTAAAAAAAAATATTGCCATGCAACAAACAAAATATATCCAATTTGAATATATGAACTTCAAATGTGAAATCTGTATACTTTGAAAGAAAAAATAATACTTATAATGATTTTTTTTAAATCACAATAACAGAAATAATAGAAATGGCATCTCAACAGAGATTTTTGTTGTTGAAAGCAAAAGAAAGAATAGAAAAAGGTGTGCAAACAGATTGATTGGTGGGTATGGTGGTAATGGAAACTGTGGAAGAATATTCTTTCAGAAGATTTTTCTGAATCAATTTCTAGCACCACAAAGAATGATTTTCAATGTCTAATCTAATACCGTTAAGAAAAAGATAAAGAATAGATTGGCAGTTGAAAAATAATTGACAAAATGAGCAAAAATTAATTATTTAAAAATGATTCAAAATGATCATCAGATGAAGGCTGATAACACAATTGCATCATGGCCAGTACTAATAAGCAATATTTATAAATCCATTTGTAAGATTTCATGCATTTTAAGATACCAAGAATTTTTAGCAAATATACAATGGAGCAAAATAGTTTGATTAAATTGTTCAGATAATCTGGTAACAATCAAATTAATTGTTGTTTTCCTTTGGTTGGTAATCGTTACAAAGAGGCTGGTTGTATGCAATTTTGAATAGATATGTCTTGAACTGTGTTTGAAAGAGTTTTTAAAGATGAAGTTGAGTTCTGGTCATGCGATTGCATTGTGAAAGAAACGGTGTGGAATCGACCAGAAAAGGTTGATCATCTAGCATATAAGAATTTGTGTGTATTGCAAGGTTCTAGAATCATCAAAATGATAAGAAATTTGGCCAAGTCTTGGTAAAGTTACAAACTCTGTACACAGAAAGATGTATATGGGACTACACGAACATGTGGCGTAAAAATCCTACCCCCCAAGTTTTACGATGTTACTGACATATTTAGATAATAAAGGCATTTGAAGAGCCACGCTTTTCAGGGAACATGTCCTATCTGATGATCTTCCACACTTGCATAATAAGAATTATTACGCTCACAAATTATTTTTCACCTCTTCCCACAACTCAACCTTCTCTTTAATGTATTACATATGTAGGATTCAACTTTAATGTAATTAAATGCCTTTAATCTCAGAGAGTATTATCAAGGCAGGTCTTCACAAGCTTGCTCTTCTTTGTCTTACTCTTAACCATTTATTATTTAGATGAAATCATTGATCAATAATTCAGATAGGTTAACAATTGATGCTACTCAATAATTTGTCTGGTGTGAAGAAGCCAATGGATCAAATTTTGCTACACAAGAATCTGATATTTTTCTGTTTATATTTCTAGGGACACAAAGTGAATAACAATAACAATATTTTGTTAATGTTTAATGGTGTATAAAACCGTCTTCAGGTAATATAATAATAGTTTATGTCTCAGGTATATAATCTTAGTCCGTACATCTAAAGTGCCACGTTTACATGAAAAACTAAGAGTATGCCCAAAGATAACCCTACAAATTTGAAAGAAATGTTCCAGATTTAGAATTTGTCATGGTAGAAAGAATCATAATGCAATTGACTTTCTGATTTGTGAATCAATTACATGTGACAAACATTATTAAGTCCTCTCCCCTATGATTAATATTGAATTATTCTATAACGGATATGATAAAAGCAAAGAAATAAATGAAAAAGGAATAATTGAAATATACATTTGGTCATGGTATGACTTTTGGTCTCACTTCTACATGACATTGCAGAAAATGGAATGGTGTCTGTTTGGTTCATATAAATCAGAATAAGCAGCAGCTGAAGTATTTTTTAAAATTTAAATGCAGGATAATGTTTAAGGGTTGCATTCTACTTTTAAAAAAATGAGGATCATAAAAGAAGTCTTTATTTTTATTTTAGTAAAGCAAATATCATAACACAGTACTGACTGATAGCTATCTACAGACTAAAACAAAAGACCTTGCAGCATATATACATTTTACATTGGATAAAGTACTAGAGAATATAATGCACATATTTCAGCCATTCCTCACAGGCATATACTGAATAATATCACAAAAATAACTATGTCACAGCAAAGTACATATAGGACTATAATAGGACTATAATATGACAGTACATTGGATACTACTACTGTGTGGTGAAATGGCAGGATATTGACTTTCAAAGAGCTCACAAGGCATCACAAAAAAACTAACAATTGCACAATTCGATATGTAACACATGGGCAGTGCATTATACATAACAATTTTCAGAATAAGAGTATATAGACCTAAGCAAGTGTCATATAACATGAATCATTCTATGGATACACACTAAGCAAGATATAGTTACATTCATATAATTATAGCCTTAATATAACTAGAAGTGCAGTTTCTACAAGTAGTTTGTACAATCTACACTCAGATCCTTCTTTTCAGTAAATGTTTGCATTTTTCGCATTGCCTCTGAATAATATACATGTATATATATATTTTTTTAAAGCAGAAATGTTTTCATAGAATACATGTATGATACGTGCATATGACTATATCAAGTTATAGTGCATGTATGCTGACTATCTATATTTTGTAATTTTAAAACACTATATATATTTCACATTCATTCAAGCAACACAGCAGGGATATAACAGTTGCTATCATCATCAAGTACATACTTTTCAAGGCTTTATTTTAATTTTACAGATACATGTTATAGTTTATATCATATACATTGATTTTTTTAAAATTTCACAGAAGTCACTACAGGAGCATCAGCCACCACCACAATCACATCACAGAGAACTAGAAGGACACTAATGCTGTACAGATATTCGATAATGCCTTTTTGCAACTCACATCAAGATTCATTCACGCATATAATTGTATTGTTATAAATACAATCATCTCAAACATTCCACATCACACCGATGAGTATTTTGACCTCACATCTCATTCAATGACCTCCTGAGATTGAGGGTTAAGACACCTAGTGATGGTATAGTCTGGTTCTTATAATGTCAACTTTACAATTAAAATAATGTGATCTATCAATAAAGCTATTAAATCAAAGTGACTATTTCAAAATAATATTGACATTTCATATGCAATCACACATATTACTAACACACAATACATCACAAACACACAATTCTGTCTACTGTTTATAGCATATTTCTAAACATTGCACACACAAACAAGGTGGTACCAATTCGAGATGGTAGACTGTTAATAATGGCAAACATAGGTTTACTTGCAGCATGCATTGATTGGAGCAAAGCATTAGGATTGATATGATTAGGTGGGATGCATCAAATAACAGATCATGCATGTACAGCTTGCAGTGATAATAAGCATGCAACATGAATCACAATATCACACATGCAACAAGAGAAAATTTATTCTGCCTCTGTTTCCTAGAGCTACTTCCTAGCATACTATAAGTGTATTTTGCACTCTAATGCTAACCTCCTACTATCTAGTATTTAGATTTCAAATATCTAGTTTGAAACCTGAATCATTAATCTCCTCCACCTACCCTAACCTTCATGTTAAATTTGCTTTGAATCATGCTGTCTACTTGATTTGATTTATAATAAACACACTGCAATTCACACATAGATGCATGATTAATGAAGCACTAAAGACCTAACGCCATCCCTTAGTCCCATCTATTAACTCTCTAGTACTTCCAGCTGTGTCTCTCTGACCCTGATGATGGGGCCACATTAAACAATTCGTCAAGAAGCCCACGGCATTCAACATAAGGACATTCCTTTACCTCCTACTGTAAGTACTTGTAGACCTTAACGCAGTGATTGCCGGAGTCAGCGACCGCTACATGGCCATCGCTGGTGATACAGATATCCTGAGGACCGTACAGGGGATCACCCATCGTGTTGATGTACGACACAAACGAGCCACTGGAATCAAAGACCTAGGTGAGGACAACGAGAGATTGTGTCAAAACTACACATGCATACAATTATTTTGGGTGTTGATCCAAATTAAAGGACAGATAGAGAGAGAGAGAGAGAGAGAGAGAGAGAGAGTGAGAGCAAAAAAGAAGAGATTAGTTAAAGCAGAATATATATTTGTATCCAGAACTTAGAAACAATTCGCTTTAAAAAAAATCTTGTGAACTAAAACTCTAAAACTCTGTCCCAATTAGGTCAATAAATAGGTTGACTATCACAAGAGAATATCAGATAGGTTTAATTGACAAAAATAATAGCTTAACACTAGACATTCCTGATTTTTTTCATTAAAAATAAAGAATTTCTGTCAGAACTACAAATCATAAATTCTGATCTACTTCTCTACATCCTTTAATGATGCAATCTATCATTACATGTACGATATACTGAGTGAAACATACCTGTAATCTACTGTTGCCCCAGTCAGCTACAATGATGTTTCCAAGATTGTCCACAGCAACTCCTGTAGGAGCGTTGAACTGACCGTTACCCTCCCCTCTTGACCCAAAGGATGTAATCAGCTGACCATCAATATCAAAGATCTTGATGCAATGGTTGTGGAAGTCTGAGACAATGATGTGATTGTCTTTGTTAACAGCCACAAAGTGAGGTCCACATAGCTGCTGATCCTGTGCTCCTCGAGAACCAATCTTATTGAGGACTTTCCCCGAAGGAGAGAAGATAAAGATGGTACTTGCTCTGTTGTCTACAACAATGATGTTATTATTATTGTCCACTGCCACTCCTTTAGGAGCTACTAGTTTGCCTGTGCCTATCTTGTTAATGAATTTCCCTTCAGGGCTGAAGTTGCTTATCCATTTGTTTTCATAATCAGCGACGATGTAGTTTCCGTTGTGGCTCACAGCGATTCCAGTGGGGCGTTGGAGCTGTCCATTACTACGACCTCTGACACCAAAGCGCTGTTTGACCTCACCACTGGAATTGAATCCTTGAATACATTGGTTGTTACTGTCCGTCACCAGGATACGCCCTGATGCAGTTGAAGTGATACCTTGAGGGTTGGTGAACTCACCCTTGTTGCGCCCGTGTGTTCCAATGGTCAAAATCAAATCATCCTCAATGGGGTTATTGCTTCGGAATGTTCTGATATTTCCGCTGGCACTCGCTGGCCTGCGGGTAGCTTTCTGTCTCACACTAGTCCTGACTGGAATCTTACCTGAAGGTGACTTTGGAGTAGTTGAACCATCATCTTTACAACCTTTAAGCTTGAAAGGACTTCCTCTTATGTGCTCATCAAAGAGCTTTATGACAAGACTATGGCTACCTTCCTTTTGCACAGTGAAGATCACATCATAGGTACCATTACGGTTGTCCATAATTGGTAGATCATCAACTTTTGCATCAGGAGTTCTTAGTTGTGCTGACAGAGGAGCGTTGCCCGTTTTGACTAGAATGCCACGGCTGTTCTTAGTTGTGATGGTGACGGCTGTTTGATCACCGATGACTGCCCGCTTCAAGCCTTCTCCACTGGCCACTGATTCATGTGGAACAGCGCTGTTTGACTGCACAAGCCCTATATTAGCAATGCTTTTCTGAATGGAATCGATATCACAGGAGACATTGATGTAGTCGTTCTCCTCTGGTTTGAGTTGCATAGTAAGCTGTGACAATTCCTGTAATCTACTCAGCATTTGCTTCTTAACTAAGAGTACATGGGTTTCATTGTCACTGGCCAGAGCCTGCTCAGTGAAGTCACAGTTGTTCTCTATACTATTTAAGCTCTCTTCAAGAAGACTACGTTGTCTTTGTAGCACACTTTGTTTTGCACTATGCACAGTATCCAGCTCTTTGATCATCTCTGTTTTTCTTTCTCGGACTTCCTCTTCAAGGTTCCCAAAGGATTCAGAGATCTGAGATTCTGCCTTCACCTTCTTCTCTGATAATCTTGATGATATTGAGGTCACCTTTGCTATTGCATCTTTGAGTTGTGGTATTTGGGTTTTGGCTTCCTCAAGTATCTTCCGCAGAGTCTCTTTGTGTTCCTCTATAACGTTAGCTAGTAATACTGTACTGTGATCGCAATGTTCCGTTATTGTGCATTCTTCACATATAGCTGTCTCACAGTTATCACAATAATAGGTCAAGGGTTCTCCCTCATGGCTTGCACATGAAAGCATCTGATCTCCAATCGGTGAGTCCCCTCCCCCGTTGCTCTCTGGTCTCTCCAGGACTTCCATCAGGTTAGTGATAAAGAAGTTGGACTGTAATCCTGCAACGCCTCTCTCCGGTACGATGGACTGCTGTCTGCAGAGTGGACAGGTCAAGGTCAGTGATTCAGAAGGGACGTAGTTCTCGAGACAGTTCTGGCAGAAGGTGTGAAGACAGGGAAGGACTTTGGGTACCTTGTAACGATCCAGACAGATACCACATACCAGGAACTGCTTGTCTATCTGCTTGACAACAGGGCTCTGAGATGCCATGGTGATGGCAGTGTCGTCAGAACCTCGCAGAAAGCACCTCCCTCTCGTGATCTGGACAGAAAAACAAAAAATAGGGAAACGTACAATGAGACATGTTATCATAACTTCCATCTTTTAAAAACAGAGATTTAAAATTACCAAAATCATGTATTCAAAACAGACGATTTACAACAGACTTTTTGAAACAGACTATTTTAATTCACAGCACTTTCCATTGAAGGAACATGTTTAGGGGTGTACCTTTTCAAAAACGGGATCCATCATTTTAAGACTTATTCTGAAGAAAAATGTTAAACATGGACAGCATCACTCTAACTTTCTGAGCCGATCATTACAACAACTGATGTGACTCAAAGTGGCCCGGTATATAATCCTTAAACACATAAAATGTTTGACCTACATAGGTTGAAGTACCCACATGAATTAAATTTACATGATCATTGGCTATCATTGTATTAGGGACAGAACCATTCCAGTTCATAATATGTTTTAACAAATAAAAAAACCTGGAAAGAAATCAACAGACATTAAAAGCCTTTCCTACTCTCATGTGGTCGGTTCCTTTCTTTAATGTTTCTCTCTTCTTAGCTTGGTGAAACCAGACTAATCTATTATACCCACACGGTCAGTTTGCTCAGTCCTACTAACTCAAATATGTGCTGGGCTTAAAGGCTGCAAATTGCCACCTTGTTCAGCAGTTAACTGTCTGATAATCCAGTTCACCAATTTTCAGCCAAGTTTTGGAGATGTGGAGGAAGCACGTAATGTCTATTGATTCTAACTGAATGTGTACAGGCCAGAAGAAATGTAATCCCAGAGAAAGAATCACCAATGGAATACAAACAAAGGAATAAAATCTGCCAACAGATGATAAAAAACATAATTTCTTCATAGCTCTAGCAGTATATAGCTTATTATTTCTATAAGCTGTTCACTTTGAAGTTTTCTCCTGTAACATGTCAAATTAAAATTATATTTGTAGCACCAAAATACAGAATAGTATTCAGCAAACGAAGACAATAGTCCCCTGCCCCTCCACATCTGGCTGTAAAAATAAAACAGTTCTCATTATTCATGCAAGACCCTTTCATCTAGCAAGAGTGAGGTGTGACTGATGTACGTAGGGTACGGGCAAGAAAACATGCAGAATCAGAAAGTAGTATGACTTATGAGCACACTTATAAGATTTGATCTGAAAATTATACAGTGAAACCTGCTTTATAGTGACCACCTGTATAGAAAGAACACTCGTTTATAAAGACCATGTCTCTTGTTTCCCTTGAAAACCTTATTTTTTCATTGAAACCTATACTACAGGAATCTCTTTACAATCAAGACCACCGTATAAAGACTACTTTCCTTGTCTCCCTTGAACAGTCTTTAGACACAGGTTTCACTATATGTACAATCCAACATCTAATCATGTTCACTGGCTTGCAGAGAAGACCTCCCATTAATCATCTTAACGTCAAGAAGGTAAAGTATAGATGACATCTAAATAAACAAACATCTTCATGAACCCTCAGCCTAATGCACATGATTGATTCCGAGAAAGAGATGGTCGAAACGTCATCATTAAAACAACAGCTGGCCTACTAGTCCATCTTCACTGTCAGCGTGTCCACACACAAAACAATTTATCCCGAAACTCTATAACGAAACATCGTATAAAGAATCGTCATATACATTTTAGGGTGTCCACACACAAGAAACGTCGTATAAAGAATCATCGTATAAATTCCAGGGTGTCCACACACAGAAGAAAGTAATTCTGAAACTCTACAGCGAAATGTCGTATAGGTGCGCAGTTTGCTACTACGACTAATTATACTAGTTACGTCCACACACAACACATTCTGTGATTAGGCGTGATTCTTTATTGAGTTTTAGTTCGAAACGATGCCCAAACCCGCGTTTCGTTATCTACGACACATCGTTAGTAAGCGTCCAAACACACACAATTTCAGTGTATAAATATCCCGAAACGGTATAACTAATCACATCTAATCACGAAAAGTGTTGTGTGTCGACACGGGGTATGAATTTTTATCAAGCTTTCGGTCAAAACGATGCTCCATTGATACACAACATTCAAACTAGAAATAGCTATCAGACAAAAATTATGAGAGTCTGAAGGCTGGGTATGATTTAGACGTGTGTTTGTGAATATGATATGGAAAATAGAGGCTTTTGGATCATTTTTTTCCCACAGGTTTGCAAAATAGAGATATAATATTTCTTGATACTACCTCTAGAGTTTTGTTTCCTAGGTATTGTTACCCTTAAAAGAACAGGCATGAATAATGAGCTAACCTTAAAATAATGTTAGCATGGTGCCCTGGATAAAACACACAAAATAATCAAAATTTGATTATACTTCTCAAAGCAATTAAGATTCAATCAATGCAGCACACATTTCATGACAATGTAAGTATATATGAGAGAGAACAAACTGGTGGAGGCGACAGAGCAAAACCAAGAAACACTTGACATACCTGGCTGTGTTATCCAAAGAAGTCTCCATTTTACAAATTCAAAATGTCAGTAAAAGAAAAATGTTTAACAATCAGCTCTTCAGGGATTTAATTTCCTTTTGAATCCAGAAACATTGCATCAAATATGGATTGAGACTTGAAGAGTGATTCGCTCTCAGCGAAGGTTCGTATTCTACTGGTGACTCAACCAAATCACTCTACAAATATACACCTTTCTAATATTTCCTGTCTCAAGTCCTATCAAATATAGAATTTCACAGGTCATGTTCACATTACTCAGTCTATTTTTTTCTAGAACTTATGGACTCCCAGAAACTTCTTTATCAATATTTTTTTTTAAATAAACAAAAACAAAAACAAAATAAGAACTCTCCCCTTACTATTAGGAAAGGTATTTTATAGTCGCATTCCTTTCTGACCATTGTACAAAATTGATGCCAATTTCACATAGGACAATCTACAATTAATGTAGGATGCATATTAAACTGGAATATTCAAAATAATTGTTATGTTAATATGTGTCTTCTACTATTGTCATGAAAAAGGTCCCAGGTAAAATAATAAAATCTCACACATGATGATAATATGTCGCTGCATGTAAGGTAGTAGAAGAATTGAAACTTCATACTACATTTGTTCCAGAACTAATGTTCTTGAGAATATATCTTGCTGAAACTTGGCTGGTGTGCGAACCCATCTATTTTTAAAGAAGACAGTAGGGTCCATGGTGAGACCTTGTCTTCTGTTTGGTTTGATTGTTGACCGGGTCATGTGACAACACCCTCCTCATTTACACAAGAGAATTGAAGAAAATATTGTTTGACAGGAAGAGAGAAAAGGGTGGAGCATTTGTCTTCTAAGGATAAAGGTTAACATGGGCCACCTTCAGTTACATATTTGTTGAGTAAACTGAAAGGTGAGAAGGGAATAGATTGTTGATTTATGTGTGATTGGGTAGGAAGCACATCTATTGAGCTTTGTATTAATATCTCACACTGAAGTCAACTGTGATGAAAGAGACATAAAAGTAGAGCAAGAGTCATATAGGGCAGTGAAGAAAAAAATGATGTTTAAAATCATATTCTTAGGAAGCTTTAATGGCGAAATGTAGTGGCACAAAAAGATGCATCCAGAACGCAGAATGCATAGTTGCTGAAAATCATAATTTTATCACACAGAGATCTAGAACCACATTGTTAGGATATGGAGCTGGTTAATGCATTTACAATCTTGATTGGGCTTAATGTTATTTAAACTTTCATTCAGATACAATGTATGTCCAAAAATTGTTTAATTTAAACACATCACTAACTATTACGCCTTGCACACACGTCTTTTTTTGTTACAATATTGCTCTAAGCTATCTCATGGGTAATCGAGTACAGAGACAAAAATCTTTAAACTCCCTCACAATCTTCTTGCTGATCTTATTTTTTTGGAGGGGGGGGGGAGGGGGGAGGGGGCTTGTATCTTTCTTTTAAAGTGTACAGGTTGAAACTTTCTCTTTGCACTTATCCTTCAGCCCTTTTCAAGAATTATTTTCTTCTTCCTTTCCATGTACCTCTTTATGTTTCTCTTCTTTTCAATCATTAACCCTTTTTAGACCACCTCCTCCTCCTCCTCTTTATTGATTGCATAGTTAGAGGCTAATGAACATGTATGAAGACATAACTCAGTCTATACCCGAGCAAGCCGAATACAAACCTGTCATGGATCTATTTATATACATGTATCTATCCTGACATGAAACATTCACAGCCATTTCACAATTCCTCAGGCTTTCAAAGGTAATAGCTACATACATTGTACACAAGTCATATGACCAAAAACAGCAGGAAATAGGAAACAGCATATACCGGTAATGGTTGGTTTTCCATGAGTGTGATCATGTCATATAAGAAATTCATTACATTTGATGTATGAAACGATCTCCTAAAATTCAGAAGGTCATTGATGTAGAATGATATGAGCTGAACTCCATCAGGCTCTCAGAAGATCAGATGCAATGAGCACGGTAGTAAATGAGCAAAATCATTCAACCCAGTCGATCAACTAAACCAACTGTCTCTAGAGCAAGGAGAGGCTACCAATTGTGTTATTATTTATTCATTTATTTGGTGTATATATAGAAACTAGCAGCTCAGGCTGAGATGGTCACTGTACCAGGTAATAACACACATGTATTAACAAAGTCATTTTACTTAATATAACAGATTTGTTAACAATATTTGAGGGGGAAATACATGGTAAATGGTAACAAATCTATTTATTATACATAGATAATATATCCATGGTATATACATGGTATATATCCAATTATGTTTCAGGGGGTGGAGAAATTCAAATGAAGAGCCTATTTCACAAGATCATGAGCACTGAAGCACTAAGGTATATTCTAAGAATGCATGCTGGTATGTGGATGTTGAGAGATGATGTCATCCATGTGAGCATTAGAATAACACATTCATGTCTGCAACATCACAACATGCAGCGCATCACATCTTATCATTGCCAATGGCGCATTCCACTGAAATAATACTGAGATTTGATTGGTGG